CTCTATGAATGATAGGAAGATTTTGTTTTATTCAGTATGAACAAATTCATTATGAAATATCGCTGAAGAGTAAATTTAATTTTTGTTTCAATCTAATGAGTAAAATTATTGTATTTTAAGGAATCGTTTTATAATTTGTCCAGAAATTTGAAGAATCCAGTAATATTCTTGATACGGTAGGTAATTACAAAGATGAACTTAAACGTTTGACGATATTTATGATTGTGGATTCATTAACTGTCGTGTGCAAGAGTATATTTTCTTATTTTTAGGATATATCAATAACCATATCTTTCAACAGGGAGTCAAATAAATGCTTTAATTGCAAGAACCCACTCCTCCTGAAACTCCACTTCAACGAGGTGACATTTTGTATGATAGGCCAATCATTGCCGTCAAAAGGACTGTTTATACAGCTATTCTTTTCTCACAGTAGTTGCTCAAAAAGCATGAGTTATTTTATTTTGCAACTTCAAAGTTTAGTTACTAAACTAAATGCTTTTATAGAGAAAGTTACATCTGGAGTACTACCAAATAACTTACGGAATGTGTTATACAATCTTATTTTGATCCTATCCAAGCACTATTGTTCACATATTCGCATTGTTCTAAGATTCCCACCAGTTTATTTGCGTTATTTATAATTTGTTATTATTGGATATTATTGCGATCAAAGAGTCGACACACGTGAATGCGCTAATAATATATAACGTTTCTATGTTAAAAAACTTATATTTTTGTAAATAAGCCTACAATTATTCCCGTTTTTGTATCTTTTTTCTAAAATATAATAATAGTTTATGGAGTTTATTAAAATCGGAATTATCATATTTAGCCAGTTGGACAGTTCCTTTAGTTCTTCACTGTTTATCGTTTCCTGGTGGATTTAATGTATTTTGGAAATCAATTGAACATGATTTTTCACATTGTGATTGGAGAATTCGTTTTAATGCAATAGAAAAGGTATCAGTATTACTTAGAGAATTAGATTATTGTATATTAGCCAGTGGTTTCAGTGGTTCAGCTGGAAATAAACTGAATCATTTATTATCTGGCGGGAGTATGGCAAGTTCAGGAGCAATAAATCTTTTCAGTCGATTAACTGGTATTGCACAAATGGGGCGTTCAAAATTTAATCCAGGTCGTAAAAATCTACCTAGTGGTCATGGAATGAAACAACATGGTGCAACAAATACGGAGCCGATCAATAAAGCAACTGCTCATTCAAGTAATAATCGTCATCCACTAATTCAAAGTGCCATAGCTCATGCATTTTGTTGTTTAATTGGTTCATTAGATGACCCTAATTCAAAGGTGGCACAATATACTTCAATGCAAATTGCATCATTAAACAATATTTCTTTAGCTGTGAGTAATAAAAAGTTTTAATACTTTGCAATTTAATGAGCTGTAGATTTATTAATTGAATTGATGAACGGCGAGTTTCTGAGTGAACGATTTTTTCAATCATTTCAACATAACACTACAGTTATAAATCCATAATTAGTGTGTTGCAAGAATCAAAACAAGGTGTACATAAATAAGTGAATTAGGCAATACTGTATGGTAAATCAGTGAAATTTTTCATAGGTTGCGACTTCATCTATCTTACTGTAGTATTTACTATCTACCAGTTGCCAAAGAAGGATACAATTAATATGTCTTGTGAGTCCTTTGCGAAACTATTCCGATAGAGGTTCACCAGCATGCAATAATGAAGCCTTTTTAAATTTATGAATCACACACTTTAGACAGATTTAAGTCACAACTGATGTATGACTTCGCTATTCTAGCAAACAATATCACCTAATTGAATTACTTATGCGCGTCTTATTTTTGGTATTATAATACGTTGGTTTTGGATTAATATATGTAGAGTCTGTAAATAAAGTTATCGAAAACAATTGTTTGCTTTAATTTTCCTTGATTTTTGGATACAGGATAAGGATCTTCAAACTACTACAATTTATTAAATAACTGCTCATCCATTCATTTTCATAAACTTCTATAATCTTAATCCTATCAGGGAATTTAAAGCAATAATGTTATGTGATAATTAGAACTTCAACACTGAATCATTTAACATAATTGATAAAATTAAAGTTTAGATAAAGTTAAGATAATACAAATAATTAAAGAAGGCTTGTAAAATCGAAAAAAATGATGACCCTTTAAAATCAGGATTGAATTAATTAAATAAAATGAATATTTCAGATCTCATTATTAAGAAGTTTAAAGTATTAAATGAGGAAAAATGAATGATAACAAACTGCATATGCATATAAAAAATAAGTACGAAAAAATGAAGATATTAATGATAGGTAGACAAGTATAAGAAAAAACTAAGGAAAAGAAACATCCTTTAAACTTGATTTGTTTTATGTAATTGGAACTAAAGAATTCAATGAGAACGTCAACGAGTTAGATAAACGACCATAGGAAGTGCTATGTAGGTAACCAAAGCGTATTAACTTAAAGCTGCTGAAATGCGGTTCCATTTTTAAATTTCAATAACCTAAAATGGTGAACAAATGCAAGATAAATAAACCAAATGAATTGCTGACTGACTGATTATTAAATACATCGATGACTTTATCTTTGTTCTGAATTAATGAACATATTTTGTTCAAAATAATCTACACACTTTAAAGGATAGTTAGGTCATAGTGTGTTGGCAATCCACGATTTAAAGCCTGAACTTTGGACGCTAAGGCGACACGTACAATATTTAATACTTTTTCTACCCCTTCCAGTAACTTTTTGTTGTGTTTATTATGATCATATTTTTATCCTTATATTATACGTTTTAATCCGTAATCCGTTATCATCACCTTCTTACAGTTGTTCCTAATTATTATTCAATTGTTTTGATGACAATTACGTTTTTGATTTCTTCATTTCTGTCAAGTGGACGATTGTCTTTCGTATTTCTGACCCATAACTTATTTCCATTTTTCTCTAAATACGTACACAACTTTAATTTAGTACTTAAAATCTCAGAATACTTCGACGGTGTAATTGCTTTTAAATCTTCTTTAGAGCCAAAATCTTGTTCAATTCCTGTGAAAATTATTGTATAAAAAATAATGTCGAAAAGAAAATCTTCTTCCCTGGGTTCTCTTTAATTAATCACAAGATGGGTTGCTTTATTACTTTGATTTGATTTTGTATTTCATCGTCATTTCTTTTCAGTGTGCAATACAATGTTTAGAATTTCAATTCGATACTGTAATTTCTGACCGCTGTCTTATTTTACAACGCATGCACCAACTTAGTTGCAATCTACCAAACAGAGAAATATTTACGTGGGACTTTTTTGTTAATCGCTTTGGTATATTAGCTATACAGGCTCAATTAGGCAATTCACCTGGTCAAGTTGATATCGATTCAGGTAAGGTTTGACAGTATAGTTTTTCCATTTCAAATTGTTCACTTAATCAAAATGTTTGTTTCTAGAGAATGGTTTAAATATTATGTGTATTACTTTTGGCATTAATTTTATACACCAACAATACATTTAACCATTCTATGTGAATTTTCAAAATCATGTCAGGGACAATACTACATTATTTAACACGCAGATAATAAATCTAGTTTCTATGGCTAACTGATGTTCACTACACTAGGTGAATAAAAAAATGATTGATTTACTAAAAATATGCGACTATCATGAGTATTTTGGCTGACTCACTGGAGTATTTATGTAAAACATGGTAAATCCATCAACTTTCTACTAAACCATGGTTTCCTTTTAACATAGAATCACTCTATGATAATCACTATTTGATATATTTGAATGCTTTTCTCGAGTAACTGGGAATAAATAGAATTATTAAGATCAGTTAGTATACTGCGGTGGTTTACTTAAATCACTTATTTTTTATTTTGATATGGAGCCTAGTGAACGCAGTTGAATATGTTTTAAACGTACACCAGTAAGAGATAATGAGATATTTTTGGAATGAGCAAGTATGAGGTAACTAAATTGAATTTACCAATGTTTTCGAATGTTAACTGACCAGATAAAAGTTTCTGTACTTAAGTTTTGTGTCCATCATACTTTATGGCTAAGAGAACATTTTGGTTGATTAGGTATTGTCGGACAAATCAATATAACTTAATACTTTTATCCATTTTATTTTTGTTCTAAGCAAATGTGTGTATAGAGCAGTTATTGGACGCAAATAGGTATTTTCCCAGTACGTATAGCCTGAGTATTGTCAATTAATCGTTTTTCGGTAATTTCTAACAAAATATACCAAATGAATAAGTCCTTGATCGTTGTACACTCTTTTTATTTAGTATAATAATTCTTTAAAATCAAATCACTCAGTTCAGATTCGAGTAAAGCAAGAACAACAACTGCGCCAGAAAAATATAAATTCATTTATTTTGTAGATTTTTTGTAGCGTATAACAACAGGAATATTAATAATAAAAAAACAACTACACATTATATTCAGAAAGATATTGATTAAAGTTGGTTTTGATGTATAGGTATAGATTAATGAAGAACAATAATTATAAGTTCGTGATTTTAACGAAATTATAAAAGGATGAAAAAGTTGGAGAGAATCGGAAAAATGAATGAATTCACATTATTGTTCTTACTTAACTAAAATTTATAATTGGGAGTAACTGTAAACACTATTAAGGTATATTCTTCTTCTTTGAAGTTGAATGAAACTGTAGTCGATATATTTTCGAATAAACATTATTTAACTTTATTTTCGATTTCTAGTGACAGATTTAAATGGATCACATCGTAATGGTGAACATTTTCAAAGTCAATTTGAACGAGCAGCTTTTGCAATTCATAAAAGTTCTGGAATTAAATCAATCAGTTTACATTCTCATGCTTATTCATTAAGATTCAGTACACATACAGTTGGAAGTTTAACTCAAACACAACAATCTCAATTACAAATAAATCAACAATCATTGATGTTTAATTCAGCTTCAACTACACAAATACGAGAAGAATGTAAAAATGAGGATGATGGAAAAAGGAAACCTTCAATTCACATTGGATCAGGTGATTAAAATAAATCGCATTTACACAAAAAAATTCATATATAGATGTATAGAACACAATAATATATATGTAGACATGTCAGATTTATTCATAATCTTCACAGAATATATATATATATATGATTGGGAAAAAAACCATCACAAATACAACACAGAGGCGTATTTTTTAGAGTCATCTAAGCTTAATAATTTAAGCTTGACCTTCTTTAGTATTGATTTTATAGTGAAGTGTTATGGTTGTATGGATGAGTAAACAAATAGCAACAACAAATATACTTGATCTCAATCGGTATTAACATCGCCAAAGTGACAAGGCTTGATGAAATGTCGATTGATATGAATTAGAATAGCTGATTAACCATAATGGATCTTGAGCTTGTAGATTTGCTAATAACTGACAGCAACCAGGTAGATGAATGTGTCTATCTGTCAAAGTATCTAAAATTGGTCAAATGATCGTAATAACTCAGTGAATCTTACAATAAATTGATTGTTTGTTTTTAACTGAACAAAATTTAACAATTTTTAATTTGTGTTAATGATAAAGTAACGAAAACAAATGATATTACAGAGTGAAACTACATACATAGCTGAATTACATTCTAATTATATTAATCATTCAGGCTGTCTAATCAAGATACTAAACAAATCAATCCATGTAATTTAAATTTAGGCAAATATCAGAATGAATAATCAACACTAGTCGATTACTAATGATAGATTATTAAACCTTGCTTAGGACTAACTTCATTATGGATGTAATTACCGAAAATATTGAAGGCAAATTTTGATTAATTATATCTTCATGCTAAAATTTAAAAAAAAACGTCTTATTTTTTTTCTATTTAGATTCTGGTATGGTAGATGGCGTACAAAGACCACATTTTAGATTTAGTCATGGTGGTAGGAGATCTCGTCCATCAATATCATCTGTTTGTGGTTTATTAACAGGTATAAATATTTTAATTATAAATTAAAAAAATTATTTAATTCGCTTCACTTCGAAAGGTACCTCTAAAATTATCGGTTTCTTGTGGAAATTTTAAAAGTATGATGAAAGTACGGAGTTCATCAGAAAAATGCCCATGTATTTTCATCAATCATTGTAATTCTTACTTTAGTTTTAAAACCACAAGTCATGTTAAGACACTTTTTCCTTTCTATAATGCAACATCTCTCTTATCATCATTGAATGATTTTCTGTTGTGATTGGCTCTTTCTAGACCTTACGTGCAGGTTCAAGTCAGGTAAATAAGCTATTAAATTGAACAAAATATATTCCACAAATGCATACTACTTTTCAGGTCAACTTTGTTTTCTCATTACACTTTCCAAATTCGAAAACTTCAATCTTTTTCTGAAATTATAAGCGTAATCCACTGTATCTATTAGGTTATGTGAGTATTTCAAGTGTCATAAATATCTACATTTTGTGGTCTTTTCTATACGCTTATTGCTCATCTCCTTATATAAGCTAGGAAACCGGTGTCGTAACCATATGTTTTACATATTTTTAATCAACTAGTTGGCACGACATATGCTTTTTCACGCTTATTCTCAGTACTTTGCATTTTTTATAATGAAACTGTAATCAATTGATAAAACCTAACTTTTAATTATAACAAGAAGCTGAATGAATTGTCAAGTTGTAAAAAGAGACTGTTCAGTACAATACATGTTTTAGTTCTCATCAAAATGCTACCAAATTATAGTGGGAAATCGAATACTTTATCGATTCAATTGAAACTATTAATCTCTTACCTCCTAATAAATTGATTTAAGTCAACTATCCTTTACAGAATCTGTATAAAGACAAAAAGTCTAGCATCGTTTCCTGTTTTCTTTTAGCCCAAAGATTGAAAAGACACCTAAAGACTAAGTCCACCAGTCAGATCGTAATTAATTGGATGATTTTTCTCCAATCGTCTATGACATGTTTTCATGTTTATTTACTGTTTATATTTTACATATAAAGATGTTTTCGTTATGTGCAAAACCACTCATCTGGTTATTAGTCTTGCTTTTGATTTCTAATTTTTCAGTGGCCTAAACAAATTATGTAGTCTCATGAGTAGTCATCAGTGGGCGATATTGTTTCATTGCCTCTATCTGCATACTAGCATTCTATCCATAGATTTTTACAATCAAAACCATCAATGTTATGTGATTGATTAGCTTACTATTTTAATGCTGGTTCTAATAAACCAACCGGTATAGTTTATTGGAAGAAAACGTCTAACTATTCGAAAACTTTGGTGTCATTATGGGTAACATAGTAATGTTTACTGCGATCATTGGTATGTTCATTGATTTGTGAATAGATTCAGTTGCTTAATCTCAAGATTATTGTAGTTTATTATCAGAAAATCAGAAAGATGAATAAAGCTTAAATATATATGCCCCTAAAATTAATTTTAACCGTTTTAAATTACTTCCGTAGGTAATTATACTTTTACTACCAAAGAAATTAAAACACATTTTTTCTACTAATTAGGTGGTCTGCATGCTAGTGAATTTGTTGATAGTAATAACAAATTTTTAAGTTCAATACAACAAGCATTGGATTTAGACGGCAACGAACGTGATACACTACATCAGTGGGTTCGTTTATTACTGAAGTTTATGTCTACAGTTCAATTGGATTTAAAATTGGATGAAAGTTGTACAGGTGGAACTAGCGGAGCTAGTAGTGGTGACGGAGGTGTTGGCAGTGGAATCGGTAGCAGCAGTGGTGGTAGTGTCGGTAGTGGACGTCACAATATGCCAAGCAAGTCTAGAGACGAATTAAAAGACAGAAAGGCTTTAAGCAAAGCACAAAGACACTTGGCATTTTTACTCGGCTATACAGATGGTTCATTTGATATACCCCCACACAAAATGAGGTGAGTTGTTTTTGCATAACAAATAATAGCAGTGGATGCTCACTGATGATGAGTCCCATACTGGGACGAAATGGCAGTGCAGTGTTTTCATGTTTTTAATGGTGGTCTAGCTAAGATCGAGTTATGAATTCCACTGTTAAAATAGCAGTTTATGACAATGATCATAATGACTTTAGGAACTTTTGACAATACTGTTTGAGAATGTAGAGAAACTTTACGAATTAAATTTTTTAGTTGCATAAACGTCTGGTCAAAACGGAATAATTCACAAATCACTTACAGTGACCTATAGAAATAATTATTGCAATAAAATATAGGTTTCATACGGCATTTGTTGTATGTTGGTTACACTCAGACGAAAGTGAATAGAGATTAATAGTTGGACATATGGACCAACCAGCAACTTTTAATTAACCCTATCGATGATTAGTAATAAGAAATAAAGTTGCAAACAACTAAAACTGAAAAGAAAATTATTCATAGGAATATATAGATCATACGTATATCATTCAAAGTAGGATTCATGTCAATTGAACAAAAATCACCCTAATTCACTATGTACATTTTGAAGATTAGTTTTTTAATACTTTGTGTGTGTGAAGTTAACATCCCTAACAATTTACCCCGATTAATAATGAACTGGTTTGGGCTTAACTAGGATGTTGATATCTTCGTCCACTAATGACTGGTTTATCTCCTTGCCCGTAAAATTTGCTCAGACGTTCGAGATATCTGGATCGGTTCTGGAGTTGTAAACTGAGGTTATCAAGCAAGACTAAGTATTTTTGTAACTGTAGCCAGCTCAGTAGTAAATCCTTGCATAGTCCGTCAAAATTTCAGGTTCTCAGATCCTCTGCCACATCAACTTCGTACAAAATCCTTCTCTATCTTCTCGCTATATACCCTTCTATCCGTCAATCATAGTTTTTCCAGTTTCTGCCAAACATTAGTATCGCAGCTTCGAATCCTGGGGATTTACTTTACCTTTAAACGATCGTTAGAGAGGCATAGGGTGGTATATTACGCTAAGTTTTGGTCATATTAAATTTTCCTTTGGTGCTTACTTGTTGGGCCTTGCTCCATTGGGTGTTGTCCGATATGCAAACAATAGTTTCGCAGCCTCTCGTTTGCTTCCTCCCATTCTTGACTTAAAATGACCCTTCCTTGAATGTGTCGAAAAGACTTTCAGTCTGTTAATTTGATTGTAGACAATATGGTAGGAAGCACACATGTTTTGATTATATAACCGCAGAGGAATATTTCTAAATTTTCTGATGTGCACTAAAACCTGTTATCTGATACCATAATGTCTAGCGACACACCGCGAAATAAATTTTGTCCATTACTTGAAAGGCTTTTCTGGTGGACTACGACACTAAAAGGACAATCTCTGGTTAATTCAGGAAGGTGGGTACTATTGTGGTGTGTGCTACTTTTGTTGACAGATATAAGTAGTATGTATCACCACTAGCAAGTGGAGTGCCTAACAACATAAGGTTGTATTGAGAAAAACAAGAAAAGAAACGGAGAACAACTGGAATCACAAAGTAATTGTAACAATCATGAAACATGTAAACAACAACTGAAAAATCTGCAAATCATATATGTAATGTATGGTTTTTGTATCTTAAAAATACACTGTAGCTTTCAGTAAACAAGAAACTCGTTATATCAGCCAATTCTTCATTCATTACACTGTTACAATATATATGATACTATTCATTGGGTTGATGGGGTTGATATTCATTAGAGCCTGTGATATTTCCGGTTGTAACCAAAGTATAATAAATCTCAGCTTATTGCTTCGACGTTTCTTGACAAGGTTAACAGTTTTTGACCATATCGGTGTTACTGCCCTTTTGTGGCCAATACACGAAACTTCGTGCCATAGATTCCATTCTCTGAACTCACAAATCTTTAATATGAAAATTATGAAGGACTTTGGTATTACTACTCGCAAACTAAAAATTAGTAACGATGAGGAGAAAGCCCCATAAGTAGTGAAATTATCTTACATATTCGAAATCATATCCCGGAGAAACTAGTATTGATTTCATTTTAAAAAAGATTCACATCCCTTATTGCATTTCTTTAGTACATTCTTCTCAAGTAGGCATTTCACTGAACGACATATACGAGATAACGAACGTTGCGACACCAAATGACAGCTGATTAGTTCTATAGGTAATCAATGTGATGGAAAATCTTTAGATATTGCCAGTTCGCTATCGGTCTAGGGGAGGTGTGTGAGACGTTAATAAATCAAACGTAACTTTTTAAGAAGAAACCAACATTGTTAAGCTACATACTAACTTAAGGTGATTTTAATTCACTTACTTACGCACGTCACCCGTTATGGAGGAGCATTGGCCGCCCACCAGAATTCTCTAACGAACTCTGTCCTGGGCAATTCTTTTCACTTGTTTCCAATTAGCATTAATTATTTTCATATCTGTCTTCGATTCCCGATGCAGTGTGTTTTTGGATCTTCCTCTTTTTCTTTTGCCTTCAAAATTGTGAGTTTAGGCTTGCCTCGTGATGCAGTTTAATGATTTCCTCAGTGTATATCCTATCCACCTCCAAAATGTTTTCTAATATTCTCTTCAGTTGGTCGTTAGTTTCTTTTCGTGACACAGTGGGTCGTTGCCGGTGGTATCCGACCGAAGGATATGGAGTATCTTGTGTAGGCTATTGTTTATAAATACTTGTACGTTTTCGATAATGTCTGCAGTAGTTCCCCAAGTTTCAGCTCCGTACAGTAAAACTGCCTTGAAGAAAGAAAGAGCTAGAGTAAGCAGCCTTGTCTCCTCCCCCCGTAGCAATTACAGGATTATTGCCGGTCCCAATCTTGGATAGAAAAGAAGGATTAGGCATGTGATCAGCAACTCCATCTCGTAAAAATAAAGTGATAGTTGTTCAGCTGACATTTAAGGAGGACATCAGCCAAATTATTTTTGAGCTGTGAGCAAGAACGTCGGTGCTGCTTGTGAATTTGTTTGATAAATAGTATGTGGCGGTTGACTAGGCGGATGTGCTGTGAACTCGACTAAATACGCTGAACCCACAAATGGACATTCTAGACGTGAAGCTAGATATTTTTTTCTGAAGTTCTGTCCGAACTTCAGGACTCTTTATTCAGTTTGTTGCATCACTCCAAACAAACACCGCACTGTTGCATGGACTGAATTTTTCATCTGTGCTGCAGTTACTCTGAATTTTATAATTTGTGAGATGTGTTCAGATTTTGACCGATTCAGAAATATTTTGATGAGGTCTATCTTTGATTGGATTAACTGAATGTATGGCGATTTCGATTCAATTTTTGTAATCAAAATTTTAACAACTGACTTTTATCCCCATTGTTATCGTTGTGAATAAGGATTAATAAAGTAAGCGTATTTTATAATTGGTAAAATAAATTAATAAAATGTCAATTGATAGATCTAATGCAATGATAAGGAGTGATCAAGTGACTACTATTTACGAGACCGATTGTTTGATATCAGAAGATATGGTGAATGCTAGAACATATTTTTCATCTCAAAATTACACATATATTCAAGCATTAACGCAGAAATGATGCAATTTGATATTATAAACATCTGAAGAAAATAAATATGAGATGAGTTGTACTATGGTGAATTATTTTGTATGTTTTTTGAATTCTCACATAATCTAGGAATTCCACTGTTTTTCATGCATTTTTGGCACATGTCGCTGGTGTTCTCGATCGTAATTTTAGTATGGGCTGTTGTATTCTTCATCAAACTCTAGTTGTTTTACAATTCTGTGCATCACCTCAACGTTATGCTACTGATACGCAACCGCCAACATTTACTTTGAGATTATTGGAACCACATGTCAGGCTTCATTGGCTCCAAACATTTTTAGTCATTCTGTATAAAGTGAGTAAATTTTATATTCATTGTTTTTATTACCGTGAAAATATTATTCTGTTTAACCAACACAAATACTACTGCAGGCACCTAAATAATTCATTAAAAAAACGACTAATGAGCCAGATTCCCACTAATGGATATTATTGTTTGACTCTAGTTCCTAACAAGAAGTGGAAGTAAGCAACTCACTTCTAATCATCCACCGACTTCTCATCGAATATACTATGTGGTCTACGCATATGACCTTTACTTAAACGTGAAGCTATTGACATCCACTCAAACAAACCTAATATTTGTGCTCATAGGAAATTTGTAAAATTTGTTTTGTTGACGTGGTCATCATAATAAATAAATTTATAGTAAATTGCCAATCTCGTATTACACAATGTTTCACAAATACCTTTCTTTGCAGATACTTTTTGTTGCTGTATAACTGTAACATACATTTTATGCTTATACAACTGTTATTATTCATCCTTTTTTATCAGAATTATGTCAATTCTTGTAATATTATGTAATTCAATTTCTAAGTACATATTCCAATGCATTGATTTATAAGTTAAATACCTTTGAATATCAATCACTTCATTTAACTCATTTTTTATTTATTTTTAGAAGGCGGTTTTGTGGAGATTTTAGAAATTTTATATAATTGAAATCATTAGTCAATTAAAGCTAGACCACCATCGAAAACCTGGAAGCACTGGCAGGCCGTTTCGTCCTATTGTGGGACTCCTAAGCAGTGCGCATCCGCGATCCCACAATAAGACGAAACGGCTGTCCAACGCTTCCAGGTTTTCCATGGTGGTCTAGCTTCAATTGACTCATGATTTCTACTATATAAAATTTTATTTATTTATTTTTGATTATTTGTTATTATTTTCTAGAAATACTTATGAATTTGTAATATCATTATGTAATACACTACCACTTGATGTGTTAGTATTGATGTTATGATTAATAATATTAACTACATATTTTAGTGTAGAGTCATAGTGAAAAATATGAGGATGTATATAAGACTGATACCTGTCTTGATGCAGTCAAATATTTATTGTATTTCATAAGTTAGTTAACTATGATATTGTAATTAATTTACCAAGCCAATCTTAATTAGTGAAATATATGTTTCCGCAACCAGTTCACACATTTTAAAAGGACAATATAATTAATTTTGTTATTCACCTTAATTTGAAGGTGTTTTTGATGAATAAAACATTTTCACCAGTCACATGGAACTTGAATTCCAATTTATAAATTAGATAATCAGTATGTTTTAAACCTCTTAATATAACGATTATAAATATTCAACAAACATTTGTAAATTCTTTGTTTATACCGTAATATACATAACTTCTTTACTGAATAATTCAATCTAACTAATACATGAATATTATTTATGCTTTTCTACGGAGAAACATTTATTAAAGAAGAATCGGTTAATTTAAACTATCAATCGAATTATATACAGTTCAGTCTAAGCACTAGTGGACAACAATCTAGGTATAATTGAGTTTTCTATTAGAAAGAGTTACTTTAACTGGAATAAATAAGTAGATTTCTGTGCTGTTATCGTATTCACTGGCCAGAGACTTTGGTTGAAAGCACTAAAATTCATAATTTTTCAATCATACTAAATTTGTTGAATGTTTTTTATACTTTTCATAGTGTTGCTACTCCTACTTTGGTGCATGCTACTTATACTGACAGATATAAGTAGTATGTACAGGTAGTCGGAAGTGGAATGCCTGTAAGCAGATGTTTTATTGTATTACACGGTAAATTAAGAGTTCCGCAAAAAGTTTTATAAAATCACTGAAATAAACTATCATACTAAACATCCCTCTGTCAGTCAACATTTACTGTTGAGTGTTTAAAACATTAAGTTAAACAATGATAATCAATTTTACCACAATGTTTACTTAGAAGATCAAACTTAATATATATTTCTTTGTTTTTTACCAATTTAGTATGAATACAATACACCAGGTGGCAATCTTACAGGAATTACGAATATTTCCAGCGCTACCTCCTATAGTTCAAGTATAGTGGCTCCTCATATTTCTAACCCATCCAATAGTACAACTGGAGGTGGTGGAACATTCACTAGCAATGCAAACAGTAACAGCATCAGTCGCACACACAAAACAAGTTCAGAAAGTGAAGCACAACTACAATTGGATAACACAACTGGAAATTCATCCGGTGTTGGAAGTAACAGTAACAGACTAAATCCTGGATGTGGCAATGTCAGTACCAGTGGTGGTGGTGGTAATAATACTACCAATACATCTGCTTCATACCAGTTCGCCCCCTCCAGTTTACTTGGAGGAGGTGGGGGAAACACAAACCTTTTGTCATCACCATCAAACGCTATTGGTGGAACTAGGGGTATGATAGAATATTTAATACAAATTGTTCTAAACACTTTGGATTCACATGTTCATGTTTGCCGAGATCGTCCAAATGAAGATTTAATTGCACCGTTTAATTCACAATTGAGATTAAGAGGTTAATAAATTTTTTTTATTGAATGGTTTTGCTTTATCATGTTAACTTTTATTTTTCCCTGAAACTATTGAACAATGACGTGAATTTCCAGATCTAAACTCATTGAATGAGTAGATACGTGAACTAATGTTCATTTATCATATTTTATTTTAGTGCTTCTAGATATGATGTTATTCTGTGTTGAAAATTATTTTAAATCAACCTAGACAAATCACTCAATATATATATATATATATATCTGAAATAGTTGATACTGTGAATAGATTAAAGATAAGCAATTAATATAAACTCTTCATACGTTAGCACCCAAAACTCTGCAAGTGATGTAGACCAAAAGACGTTTATAGCGTACAGAAAGTACTTTATCTCTAGTAGGACATCACTAACGAAAATACAAGTTGCTCCAAAATAAATGACTTTTACTCTCTACTAATTACAAATCACGTAAAATGATTGTTTGGAAGTCTTGAAATTACTTCAAAATATTATCTGAAACGAGATATGGAATGAAACTCTTAGACATTAAACAAATTTCTGTAAACTTGGGTTTCAAATTTAAGAAATTGTTTACTATTTTTATTATTTAACACTGATAACTTAGTATCATTACTTTTAAATAAAGCCATCATGTTTGTTTAATGTTTACATTTCGCACATAATTAAGCCTTAAAATGTTATACATATATGTATGGTTTTAAGATATTCTTTGAAAAGATATTCCTTCGTGTAGGTATTGAATTTTATATTTTACATATTGTGGACAGTCATAAAGTGTTTATGATTGTTCAATAGATAATTATTAGAAATGGTAGTAATCTCTACTTCTGTGAATAACAAAATGCTACTGACAACAATTTTACTATTCTTCCTCAGTAAAACCTAATTTCAAATTACAACATACGTATTTTAGTGTGATTGTTGTTAGTGTCCTATAATATAGTAAAACGTTTACATGAGTACTGAATATCAAGTCCGTCCAGTGCTTTCAGGTTTTCCATGGTGGTCTAGCTTCAGTTGACTCATGATTTCAACTATATATAAAAATTATATAGAAATGTATGTACAAATGTATATTTTAATTAATAAAATCCCCGTTTTATTTGGATTATCCAAAATAACACTGTAAATTTGACTCCTGCTTTTGTTTACCATTTGCTATGCACAATCAGAACGTGTCTCTTTCTCGTACACAACGTTTTGAAAACTCCCCATACTAAAATAAGTAGTATAGCCTTTGTTTACACACAACATTGATTTATTACAAGTATATTTATTCATTAAAATAAATTGGTTTATTACAGGACTTTCAGGATTACCAACCGGTATGATACATTTATTTATTTAATTGTCAGTAGTAATAATAATAATAGTAGTAGTGTTTAAATTACTTCACCTTAACATTTACTAAATGGCACCATATTGTTATGTAACACTTTTTAATTATTGTCTTATTCAATAACTTGTATTCCTTTGCATATTGTAGCGTTTGTATATTACTTTGTAAACAACAACTTTATCCTGTTTATTTAAATTGTGTAAATTTCAACTTATTTCTATTTTTTATGGTAACTATTTTAACTAGTAAAATTATAATGCATCTATAATAACAGATAAAGTTGTCACCAAATGAGTATTCCAATTTATTTTTCCGGACAAGAATTGCACCACAATTATAAAGAATGATTGTATATATGTAAACATGGATGCATGCGTTTGTGTACGTAAGGTTTCCATATTTGTATGCATGTATATAGACACCTTTGACAAACATTTTTGTGCACAGTTTATTCAAGTTATTTTTTTATAATCCTGGCACTAATGTACTAGGTATTCACCTGATTTTATATAAAAGCACAAAAAATGTATGATAATTCAATGTTATTTGAACAAAGCACGAAACACTGCCGACTTATGTACGATTTAGTCAGAAGACTTATTGAGTAAAAAAGCAGAAAACCTGATTTTTATGCATCTTTTGAATTTTGAATATTTCATTAATTCAAAGAAATGTATCGTCTAATCGAAATAAACTATTCACTTTATGTTTAAAATTAGATTAGTCCATCCGAACATCACAAAACTGGTTTATACATGCGCAACATTATCATTACTATTACTAATCAAATTTTTCAACTTTAAATACCCATAATAATTCAGGACTTCCTAGGTTGCTTATTTCATGTCAGTTGAATTATCGGTCATATTTGTCCGCATCGGGTAGTACAAAAAAGGATTACGTAAGAATAATTATTGTCGTTTAGCATTCCAAAGTCCATAATTATTGTATGCATAAAACATAACCTTGCTTGACAAGTAAACTAATACTATGAGAAAAGCTGACAAATATAATGATCATTTGGAAGTGGATGAAATAAAATTTAAAAAATAGTTATACAATCTAACTTGTCACGAAATCAGCGTAGTATTCGCTGAAAACTTCTCTTTAATGATTTTCCTAATTTCTTGCCTCACAATCAAAATTACGATTGACAGAATTTCCATAAACGATTCTTATAAGCAGTGAGAATAATGGTCTATTTGTAATATCTCATTGAGTAGGAAATAAGATTCCTGCCATTTCGTGGATCAGTTTAAACCGCTTCTTCAGAGAATAAATAAATAAACAAATTAAATCAAGTGTAAATAATACAAAGGAACAAAGCACGAGTATTTATTACAGTCAAAACACAAGTGCGATTCAGTCATTATCATGTCACTGCGGTCAAGGTAAATTTGTAATATATCCTTATATACTTGTTTGTGTTCATAAGTGCGAAAATTGTGGGTAAAAGTAGAGTTAAATTTGTACTTGTCATAATGTTGTGAGACGTTTACAGAATTAGATATGGTAGCTTAAATAAATTGTTCTACCTGAATATTTAGTTAGACCTTTTCTACCAAAGGTATAAGGATTTAACAATATATGGAAAGCTTCAGCTACTCCCTTTTTTGCACTTTTGAAGGACTTTTTGGATTATTTTGATACTCTTAGTATCTATTTATTCTTTGAAGAAGTGGCTTACATCAAGTCATAAAACATCTGAAATTTCATTTATCCACTCATCGGGGTCTCGTGGATATATCATTATTTTTGTTATTATCAATCTACTCAATGCTCAATTTATTCAAATATATCAAGCTAAACCTTAATAATGTTACATACAATTATCATCATTATTTATTCTACTAACCTCCGTCGATTCTTCACAAAAAACTGGATTTCTAAATGATTTATAGCGAATTAGTCAGTTAATAATGCCATTTTTTTATCTATTCTATCTGAAAAAAGGTGTTATCATATAAAGCGTTTACTGTTCAAAACATAACATGTACGTCTAATAACTAGCTAACAGAACTAGAAGTAAAATCTTGTCGTATTTTTAAATATGATCACTTTTATCACGAAAACATTTGCTCTTTCTTCATCGTTTCCAGATGAGATTGTAAACATTATCCATTAAAGAAGCTTTTTACATTTTACTTTGTTTTTTTGCATGAATATGTCGATTAATTAGTTGGTTTAGCTTGGTAGATTAAATGCATGTTAGAATTTTTACTTATGTGTTTATTTCGATTAAATTGTTTAGTATTTTATGGTTCATTTGATAATCATTAACAAAAAATAAATTTTAGCCTTTTAAGATATATATATATATATATAAGTAGAACTTACAGTTATTTGCGTTGATAAACCCTCATTACAACTTGTTAAACAAGTACAACTTTGAGGCTTAATTTGTGTGTATATTGATGTGTAGATACATTTCACACTACTTGGTTGCCATGACTGAAACCTATGAAACAGGATTTTGATCTCGATATTGAATAGGTAAAAACATCAAATGTTATACCTACAAAGCAATATTTCCAGGTTGTATAATGAAAGTGCAGTAGACCATGTCTTCCATAGTTTCCAGTTTCTTAAGTTTGTTAAAGTGATACACTTATTCAATATTTAAGGATCCATTGGATGTTAATGAGTAAGATTTGAAATTCAATGTAAATAATTTTTCCCAGTGCTTCTTTCTTTGTTTCTCATTAAATTTTGGGTTTGAAGATTGTTCTGCTGAATTGTTGGTACTTTTATTGTACTTTATGACTAATAATAGTGTAACATTTATGGAAATTTCGTTGCTCATTTATCAAAAAATGATACTCGAAACAGAATACATTAGAAACGTAGAATAAAATTATCAGATGCCTAAAAACCACTTAAAACTTGAAGGTATCGTGTACTCTGAGCTGAATGATTTATTTGTGAAGCTTTCATTGTGAGTAATATCATCTGCACGTACTTTAAAGAAAGGTAAGGTATTAGATTTCTTTTCCTTATTGACTAAAAGATTTTTCTATTAACCTGAAATTTGATTTGCCATTGTCCATAACTGTAGGGTCGTCGTGTACATGTTTGTTTTGACTGATCTCTGATCTCGCACTTGTTAATCCTTTTCCTTATGGTCAAACAGATTTGGTTGATTCAGATTAGTTTATTGGTTTATGGTTGAATGGAATACCAGGCTTTTAATTTTTATATGGCTTTTCTCGTGTTTTCTTTGTCCAATAATTGGATATTTTTCCACCCGAACGTGTGCCCACAGTTGTCCACGTACGCTAACACAATCGAAGCTATACCGTAGCATTTATTATTTTACTGGTGTTCATGTAGATGTAGATGGAGAGGGAAATAACTTTATTCCATATGGTGTACGTTATGGCTGAAGGCTTCATAAATAAATCATTCGGCAGGGATAATAATACACTTTCATCATTCTTATCCTGAGCTTCAAATGTTCTTCCCTAAGTAAACGGAAAAATTTATCATATAGAGTTCAAACTAACACATTGAATCAATTTTCTTCAATGACAGTGAGAAAGCGTTTGAAGTATGACCAAACGACATGAAACGTAAATTAAAATGTAAAAGGATAACACCATGAAAAATAAATGCATATGAAGTTTAGGATTATTAATCTGATAGTTTATATATGAAACCAACTAGATGTCCAATGAAAATGGATAGAGGTTATACAAACATTTTCTGAATACAGGGTTTTGGGATGCCTAAGTGAATTCTGACAGCTTTCACTGTATGTAGATGACACTTAGAAGCATTAAGTTGGCCAATCGAATTCAATACAACTTTAAATACTCCATCCACATGAATTTAATTAAATTTACGGGAATATTTAATTTACTGAAATCTTGTTTATTTGTTACCAAAATTATTGTATACAGTAAAATTACCAAATAACTGGCAAACATCATTTCTTCAAATATTTTATATAATTAGTGATGTGAATATTAAGTTACTTTTTATAGTTAGATCATTGCTTAGTCAGTATGATTTGTAATCTGAGTACATTTTTACAAACAATAACAAAATCCATTCCATGCTAATAGAACCTTTTGTTATCTGCCAGATATCTAGTCAATAATTAACGTTTTTTTCTGTCTTTAAGTTCAATTCACTGAATGACCATCTTTATGATTGTAAATGTATGTTTATTGATAACTTATCAAATAATTATTATTCAAAAAGCAACCATATATATATATATATATATATATATATATATATATAGGCACTGGGTTCGAGTTCCATGTATATATATATATATATTTATATACCTTTTCTCTATACATCAAGTTGATCTTGAGGTAAATGTTATATTTCTAATTACTAAGTACCAACCACTTCTTCAAAGTACATTCATTGCGAAATCAGTTATAACGAGTAATAAAATGACAAGAAAATCGAGGAAAAATATCGTTCAGGGAAAAATAAACAGCCTTAGATATACTGACTTAACAATGGCTTTGTTCTTATTTTCTCTTTTTTTCAACTTACGCGGGTTTTTTCTTAGATAAGAATTACGATTAGACTAAAGTACAAGTATAACTCTGAAAAGAGCTAGGCTTTATGTAGCATTATTTTCAACCTCAAAGTCCTTGTGTTAGTGTAATTGTGATGATTTTCATATATATAAAATTGTAAATAATATATTTAAACAACTGGCTATTTACATAAATAATATTGTAATATTTATTGAAAATATATTATTTTCAACAGAGGCAAGTAATGTAAGTGCAGATTTTAATACGATATTAGAAACTGTGACGCCACCAGCTACACCAATTCAAGAAGAATATGATGATGACGATGAAAATACAGTTATTATGCCTGGTGTAACTATCAATCTATTACCGTCATGTAACGAATTAGATGAGAAATGTAATTCAGACTTGAATACATTGAGTCAACCTCAAAAACAACGAACTATATCTGATAATATAGCTGATGATGTGATTTGTATGGCGAAGAAAGTAAGTTATAAATAATACGTAATCAGAAAATTAGTCTTCACATACTTATCGTATAATTTAATTTAATAATGTATTAATTGTCAGTATGGGGTTATGGAGATTGCTGAACTTTTTTAGGGTTACGAAGCGATCTGTTTTATACAACCATTGAAAACGTAGAAAAGTAGGGCTGACGTCTCGTCTCAGTATGGAACTTCCCATTATTGCGAATCCACGACCGTAAAACCAGTAACTAAGTTCAGTAATTTGGGTTCTGCATGAAAACGCTTAACCTTTGAGCTACCAGATCAAAATTCCGCGATGTTAGTGTCTAACTTGAATCAATCCACGATATTCAGCAGTCATCTCCTAATGTCTTCGGTAGGTAACTCTCTCACACTTAACTGGTCACGATTTCTCACTAGTACCTTGGAAATTTCCTTTTACCAGTGAGCACATTATAATTGTCACTTTGATTGTCCAACCTAGGTTCGTCCTTTATCTCAATATAATATATTTGCTCATAACCTTGTTTTTTTATGACTACTAATCATAGAAAACATGAATGTTCTGTATAATGTTTATTCTAGCACCTATTGAATTGTTGATCATTATTACTTTTGTGTTTTGAATACTAAAGATTATTACTATGACGGTACAATTAATTTGATAAAGTATACTGATATGTTGAATAATCAACTGGTAGTTTTTTTCAAATAATCTTTCCTCTTACTAATAACTTAATTGCTATTTTAGAGGATATAAGAGGTGGTCAACTGACTGAATATTAAATGTTAGACAGCTGAAACTTCCATTCTAGTAGAATTAAGTTTATATGAATTATTATATCATAAAGAAATAATAAACGATAAAGAAAGAATATGATCATACAACCGATAATCTATCATTACAGTCCATCAAATAAAGTATAACATCAATGATGAAAGCAACTAATTGGACACTAATACCATATAATTTGTAAGTTTGGTAGGCTTATATTTCGAATCAAATCTAAAAATTTTGATGATATGTTTGAACTTGTAATTTAGAAAACTCTCTCTAAGTGAGAATCTATTCACTTGATCCTACTTTCGTTTTAGCATGATAATGAGAAAATAACATTCACTGAAAAGCAAACTGATGTACAAAGCGGGAATACAATAACTATTGCTGAAGGTGATGATGATCTCGGTGAATCGAAGAAACATAGTGAACAAAACAGTAAATCATTCGACTTATTAAGTCGGAGTAGTTTGTCTCACCGAAATGTTGGTTGTAAAAAGGTCATTACACCGAAATCAGTTATCTCAATGAATAAGCATATGCCACAACGACACCAACCTAACGACCAATCTTCGTTAAATAACTCATTTATTTCCCTCAAAACAAAACTAGACGATGAGAAAAATGAGAATAAACAAAGCACTGCATCAATTGATCCGTATACAGTAACGCAAGATGAACAATCAATCGTAACGGTAAGTAAAATAAACGGACTCTTTTTTTATTTTCTGCGCAACTGTTTATGTAATAGCTTTCAAAAATAAGTAAAGCAAATATTTTATTTTCATTTATTTGAAAAAAAACTTTTAAAAAATGCAATTAGAACCCACAAATTACAGTACATTCATTCTATTTTAGCTTAATGTACGTTGATTTTTGAATGATGGGATTTGTTATATCGTGTGCGTACGTACGTGCCCTGTTTGATATATATGAACGTTATAAGACCGTCAATTAAAGAACTGTGAATTTATTGATCGCCCAATGATCTACAAAAGCCGTATGATCAGTCTTGAGCTCTAATCGGTCCTGCTATTCACAAATATACTGGACTTACATACCTATCAAACAGACCACATCGTACCATAAAATAGAAAATAACATTTGTACAAGATTTGGCCAAATGTGGCTGTGAATAGGGGGAAAATAATCAATAGACTGGGGATAACTCAGGAATGGTAAATCGTATGATAACAGTCTATAGGTCGAAATAAAGCTTATAATAAGAGGAACATGAATATGAATAGTTAAGTTAATTAACAGTTATACAATAGGAAATATACATATCACATTGGTCCATAAATAGTCCTCAAAAGTTACCATTCACAATTCTCTTCGGGATACAACAGGATTATCGTTGTTTCATTAGAAAACAAAGAATTAGTAAGTTGAACAAATAGTCACCGGTAAACAAGTGAGTCAATAACGACATGACAGAAAGTTGTAAGTAGCTAGCATTGATATCTGTCTTGTTGGTCTCAGTGTGACACGTCCTCCACACAGCCCAAAATTTACGCTTAAAATGTTTCTATAATAAAACAAAAATAGAAGTTCTAGCACTCCTTTGTTTTTTAACTGATCATGTACGAATTCCATTAGAAAAAATATGATTTTGCTGTCTTCTACTTAAAATATTCCTCAAGTCACAAAAAACCTCTAACTTATTTTAAAGCATTTTCTAATTAATCGCATTAATTTCTTTTCAATCAGACATCATGAAGTGAAAATTTGATTTTTTTTTCGAGAGTTAACAAAAATGGTTTTCATTGATTGATATTTATTCTGATACAGAAATAACATAATTTTATATAACAGTCTTTTTGGTTACATCACGTCGCATTAAAAACCAATTGTATTACACTTTATTGTCATTGATGAATAGTTTGAGTGACTTGTCATCTATCAAATAAGTTCAAAGAGAATCTTATTGATTTTGACGCATAGTTGTTGAATATTTAATTAGACAAGTCAATTATTCCCTCAATTTGGAATGGATATTCCATACTATAAAATATAGACACTTAATATACAAATCGTTTTAATTGAGCGTTTGAATTGTGCTTGTATGTACAGGCCAAACTATAAAACTTTTACATTCAAATTGAAAAATCAACAATTACTTTTCAGTGAATACCGAGTTTACGAATTGGATTCATGTATGTCAGGTCTCTATTATTCATTCATCATAACAAATTATTCTCTCAAGTTAAATTTCAGACAGTGTATATTCTTGTTCGAAATGAAGTATACGCATATGTGTATATAAAAATTACATAACTGATTCGTCTTTTTATATAAGAACTTTTGTCGAAATTAGAGCGAATAGTTTCACAGTATTTGGGCGCCGAGTTGATGTAAGACATTAAATAGGAATAATATATTCGTAAACTCTCAGCGAATGAATTTGAAGTAAATCCAATCTTTCGCCTGGCAATCTGGTTCAAGCTTTTTCGTCTTTTTAAATGTTTTTTTTATTTCAGTAATTTTAAACAATAACTCAGATACTTTTAAGTTCTATTTATAATCTAAATATACACTTTACTTATCACTTATATATATACATTATGATAATACTATTTGAAATAGTCGTCTATAAAATAGTTTAAACACTGAGAAGAATTTCGGTACCATATAACTTATAACTATTCAATTATTGTAGATTCAGTAACAGTTTGACTGAAATGACGTTTTCCTCTTAGGTTTTACTAATGCTTAATTCTGTCTAGGGGATACAAGATATTTTACATGAATATATTATTATCAAATCAATTGTTTAAAATTGTGAAACGTAATGATTATATTGTACCCAACGTTTTTTTTAAAATAACCTATAATAATGAAGAAGAAAAAGTTAATTGATAAATTTACATCAATGAAAGAAGTCAGTATTTTCAAGACTGTTTCAACAATAGTCATTAATAATGGACAAGAAAATAGACGACATAATTTGGTTGACTTTAATCCCAAACAATAGAATGTTAAGTAAATGGTTGAAGAAAATTTTTCAAAAAGGGTTTATACAGTTTTTATTTGTACACTATAATTGTGTTAAATCATTCCTCTTAAATGTTACTCTATGTAATACAAGTAGAAAAGAATAAAATATATCGCTTGTAAATGTCAGCATATTCATTCTATATTTGGCATGACGGAATGACTCTAGCTAGACAATGGTTTAAGAACCGGGAAGAACTAAGAGACATTAGTCTAAATAATTCAACACAGTGTCAGAGAAAGTTGAAGGTAAACGACATGGACTGATCCCATTTTACTTAATAATATTCAAAATTGAAGATGTAGTCTAATCTATGTAATATTTTTAGTGATACATAAACCCAGATATGTATATATAATCTATAACATGTGTATTCTATCTAATACTAGTTTTCCAACAATTCAGCTTTCATGGTAAGCGTGTGAACATATATATATATCTATATCTATATACATATTAGAATACTTTGTGTTCCTGTTTATTATACATACAACAAACGTGGTGCATTCCACCAATTATTTTTTTCTCACGCTTTCATCCTTATTTATTTATCTACTTACTTAATTATTTATTTTGATATTTATAATTCTGATAGTTGCATGCAATCAAAATATTTCATTTTAATTAGATTTTGCTTCATTCAATTCAAATATCACCAATGGTAGACGTCAAGTATTCAGCGAAAAAATTTTTTAGCTTATTTTTCGTTAGCGTATTTGAATGTGTATGTGACAATAATGATAATGATAACAATAATAATAATAGATAATGTTCAACTTCTGTTTCCATTCTACCCTCAACATACCATGTATTGATGATGCAAAATGCACAATCTAAACATTTGCTTTTCCCTATATGTAGCTTATTAAGCTTTCAGTGTTACTTATTTAGCTATACACATACATACATATGTACATATGTATATATATATATATACATGTATTTGTATATACATTGTTCACTCTCAATATTGTTTAACTGTACCTCTGATTTTTATTAGTTGTGTTGCTTTAAAGTTTTATTTTATCAAATAATACTAAATTTCTTTAGTTCATTGTTTCATAGACACAGAATTACACTTTCGATTATGATCAGTTTAACCAAGTAAAACGTTTTTTTTCAATATAATCTGTTTATTTAAAACAATGGTTTTCATTCAAATTGGATAATTTGAGTGAAAAACCGTTTAAATTTAATGGTTTATATTGAACTATTTTGTGAAGAATTTTCAGTCAGAAGTTATAACTTGCTGAACTGATAGAATCATAAGATTCGATGGTAGGATATTTAGAGCAATGAAACGCTTCATCATTGAATGTTGATTTCTGAACTAAATGGATAAAATTAAGTATCCTACATAATCATATCAAGCAGGCAAATATTAAATTATTTTTGTATGGTGCTTAAACATTCATTCTTTCCAAGTCACACTTTGACCTTGTTAATTGCTCTCTTATTAACCTTGACTATTTGCATATATGTGTATTAGGTGCTTACCGTGTTCATTACATATCTGTAACCTATTTTTGTCTGACTACAAATATTGGGTCACGCTTGATCAAATCGAGTTGGCTCTCTCACCTTTAACGCGCCGCTCTGCTTCTTGTTCTAAATGTATATCCGGATAAATGTATCCTTCTGATAAATTCCACCACTCCAACCACTATTTGGCTTCTTATATCGCTGTCACACAAACGGGGTTAGCCTGGGTAATATACGGAGCTAAATAGAAGATCTATATTTATAGCATATTCATACGTTCATCCGAATAGAAGTCAGATTAGTGGACTATATATATATATATATATATATATATATATATATATTCTATACAATTACTGTTAAGATAAATATGTTTATTAGATTTCTTCATTTTTACTTTGACTATAATACCACTGTAGACAATCATAATTTTTGTTCAATTTAATTAAATTGAATATTTAACAAACATTTCACTCTCACATCCTTGCTAACACAATACAAAAACCAAATTTATGACAACAAATTAATTCAGTTTTAATCAATGACTTAAATTTATGATATAAACTAGAATTTATACATTTCTTATTGTCATAGATTATTGGGACTTAAAGTAACTACCTTCTTTTTTTTTTAATTTACCGGAAAAAATGAACATTTTATACACAATCAACAATCGATAATAGTAATCGAGTTTTATGTTCATTCCTCTGAAATAATTGTTCAAAGAGATATTTGTGTTCGATATTTGATTCAGGTTCTTTAGTGACTAATTAATATTTAGTGACTTACCCAATACTTACAAAACTAACTAAATCCTATATGTATATATTTCAGTAGTTATTAAACTTAGTTCTAATAATATATGCTTCACATCTATCAAATATTATATACCAAAAGAAAAATATTTTAATTAGTTTATTCAGCATTAGTCCTGTGATCATTATAAAATCATTTTATTCGCTGATGATTAAATTTCGAATAAAATGTTCGGATGTGTATAAGTTGATAATTTAATTAAACTCAAAATTGATGTTATGAATGGATATATGTTAGTCCACCATTGAAAACCTGGAAGCACTGGACAGCCGTTTCATCCTAGTGTGAAGTTAGACATTAACACCGTTGGATTCCGGCTCAGTGATCTAGAGGTTAAGCGTTCAAGCGCCAGACCGAAGGTCCTGAGCTTGTCTGACATTCATCCATTCATAATATCAATTCAAGCTCAATAATTCCCACAATCCTATACTGATAAACTCCAATTCATTATTCATTTTAGAAAAATATTTATTATGGAAATAAAATTGCACATATACAAATGTATTAGTGTACATTTTATTTAAAAGTAGAATATAATGACAATTGAGTTATCTTTGAATAAATATTGTTTAGTAAAATACAAAGAATTTTATCATTGCTTAGATTGAAATAAATTGAATAGTTTATCACACTTTTATTCACATATTATACCCTTGTTTTAATTATTTAAAGTAGTTCCAACAATTGTACATTGAATGCACGATGAATGTTGTACTTAGATAGAAAAGTAGCCTATTTCTTTTTCCAAACTATGCTTATATCTATAAATAACATTTCACCAAAGTAATTACCTTCTGGTTCAAACTGTGATTATCAATATGAAAAGTAAAACCTCAGAACGTCAACAATCTATGGAATAAAACATTTATAATTTATAGTTAACATTACTGATACATCTTAGCTAAACAATCATTAAAAACCAGAAAACATTAAATGGATGCTTCCTCTTAAAAAACCTCTTCAGAAATGTGTATTCACTATCCCACTGGGAATCGGACCCAGGGCTTTCCAATCTCATGGTAAACGCCTATATTTAAGACCATTCAGCCGCGATTCAGTAGTTTACAAGTTTGATTTTAATCAGTTCACAGTATTTTTCTATCGTTCCCTTCAGTTTGGTTAAGGATGTTCACTACTGAGGAGTCCTCTATTCCGAAGAAACAGATGTTCTGTGCTTCAACGGTTGTGCGGCTGAGACCAATCCTTGATGTTAACTATTAGGCCAAACGATCTTCACACACTTTCCACAAAGTATTTTAAAATTTAGCTGATTGGTCCATGTCAAAATAGCCTCCGTCAAAGCTTAAACTAGCAGGAGGGCCACCAAATTTGGAGAGCTTTAGATAACCGTTTCGTTTTCATTCAAAACTCATTAACAGAGTACATTCATTATTCTTCATGGTCTTAAACTCAAAAAATTTAGCACTTCTGGTAATTGTTTCACTCTTGATGTAATTGTAACTTATCAGTCACAAATTTTAAATAGGGTTTATAGAGATTCATCTTGACGCTGGTTATTTGTTAGCGCATGTTTATGATTTGATCGCTTTGTCTGCTATACATGAATTTGTTCTCTTTTCAATATTCCTTAGAACGTTTTAGTTTTTTCACTTTTTATTTACACTTCAATTTTATTTTTATTATCCGTAGTATTTAATCTATAGTAGTTTAGTTTTAACAGAAATAAAATATGCTATATGATATGAAGCACAGGTCGGCGGCCTATGCTCCATTGGGAGTAACAGGTGTAAGTAAGTGAATACGGTTTAGTAACTAGTTAATTCCTTTATTTTGTTCATGATATTTGAAAAGGTAAGTTTTAATAAAAAATTTAGTTATTGGTTGTCATTATGTAAATGAATTTATGAACTAATAATGTGTAATCATTAACATTAATTATAATTTTAAAAATTATTAAATTCTAGTCACCAAAAAAACTGTTCTTGTTTTCTAATTATTTCGTTCTAATTCCATCTTTTATTTAATATTATTCATGGAAAATTACACATACCTTTAATAAAGCCTCTTCTAACGGATACTGAATCGACCGTAGCCCGAGAAACTACTCCTGAATCAATGAAAATACAAACATGTGAAGAACAATTAAGGAGTAAGTAAAATTAATTTTCTTCAAAATAAATAAATAATCTCAATGATATGTGAATAATACCTTTATCTGATGGTTTTTGTTAAGGGGACTAACATTTGTTTAAGATTATTCAAGATTATATGCATATGTTTAATTAGCATGTATTAATTCCTTTTTAATAATCCAATGTTTACTAATTTAATTCTGTTGGTTTGGTACTATTACTGATTTCTCTTATTCAATCAAATTTTGCAGAAATGTTTCAACAGAATTGTGTAAAGGAGACATCCGTTATACCTTATTTTTGATAAACCAATTTTGTATATACTAAGCTATAAAAGTGTAGCTTTAATGTGGCTTTTATCATTTTATTAGGTATATTATGTATATGCTACATGTAATATCGAAGTATTAGTAGAGCAGGAGTGAATTAGATTTTCGAAGATAAATCTACGCGTATTAACACAATTTCCAATTGAATGATTAGTCCATAATTATTTAGCTCAACTGCAAGGCCTGGAAAACTCACCTTAAGCTAATTACAGTCAGGATTATCTGGTGAATACGACCCATTACCTAATTTAATAGTTACATTCAACTTTGTATGTTTTACTTCTGCGCTTAGCTTTCAGTCATTATCCCCTTATATTTCATAAATACCTAAATTATTACTAGATTATTATCTTTATTCTCACAATATATCACAAAACTTACCTCAGATGTCTGTATCAAAACTGTTAGGGTAAGTAATAAATAGATTATCTTTTGTAGAACACTACACAGGGAAAATAAGAAAGTGTTATGATGAATAAATTGACTTCACAAAGTATGTGAATCACTGCGGTGAATGCACTGATCATTTACTTGCTGAAGACAGAATTATCTTCTTACTGACTGGATATGTGAACATATATTAGATAATTAAAAGTATTATTTGCATTCAAATTATCCTACCAAAGTATTGTAACAATAAGTTACTAGTTTGTTACAAAAATTAAACAGTTGCTGAATGAAAGTGAGTACACAAAAGATATGACGACTATACATATATGTCAGTCACTAGACAATGTTTTCATAATCCGATAATTTAGGGAGAGCTTTTATATGTTTCACCACATTTTACTCTACCCTAACAAAACAAGGACTTATTCGCTTTTCCGATTGCATATTACGATAGATCAATATGTTCAATAAATACTCTATTTATAAATGAATATCTGATATGATCACTTCTTTTCTTCATCAAAACTATTATATTTAACAGGAGGATCTACTGACTGTAAATCACCCAAGAGAGTAACACTGAAATTTCCAAAACGTGGCTCAGCATTTGTCTTTCAAGATGAAAAGTGAGATTTTATATTTTTTACTGAAAATAAAGGTTTTTTCACCGTCGAGACTATAATATATGGACAACCTTTGAACGAATCTTAAGTGACCCTGAGAAATATTAGCCAATCAGAAGACAGTATAGAGTAAAAATATACTATCCGGCACCAAGGAATTAGAGTGGGTATACTTATTTTACATGGTCCGAAAACTTGCCAAGGTTAGAAAGAGGTTCAGAGGTTATAAAATCGTAATGCATAAGGTTGAGGAACTCATCCATAGGGCTCCATAACACTCGATCACAAAAACTCTCTGATCCTCGACCGCATAGCTTCAATATTGTTTGTATGTACTCCGGTTGTGTAAGTTTTCATTTTCATGACGCATATGTCCCTACAACACTCATACCTCTGAACAGCCGAAGCTTCATTAACATCTGCGATTATTGCAGCCAATTTTACTGGTGCTTTTATTATACAGTTCGCTGCAATTATTATAATTTGCCTTAGTCTCAATTTGGGTCGAGAGAAAAATCTTCCTATTCTAGCAGACTTCTTCCTCTAACATATATTACATCGGAAGATAACATCACCTGGGTAGTCTGCGCAAGGTCTACAAGTCAATTGATTACCGCAATTACAAATAAAGGAACTACTTAGTAGACCCATTTATTGTAGCCGCTTAATTGTCAAGTCTTCTCTAAAATTCTCTGTGAACCGATCGTACATGAGCATCAGGCACTGAAATTGGCGCTGTGACCTTGAAATCCCTCAAACGCTTCTGATTGGCTCGTCCATAAATTATAGTGGACTGTACAGTTTAAATTGTAATAAATAATTATTATTTGATGTAGTTACTTACTTACGCCTGTTACCCCTCGTGGAGGAGCATAAGCCACACACCAGCATTCTCCATCCAACTCTGTCCTGGGCAATTCTTTCCAGTTTTTTTCCAGTTGTTATTTTTTCTTTTCATATCTGCTTCAATTTCCCAGCGTACTATGTTCTTTGGTCTTCTTCTTTTCCGCTTCCCTTCCGGATTCCAAGTTAAGGCTTGCCTCATTATACAGTTTGGTGATTTCCTTAATGTATGTCCGAATTATTTGATTTACATGATTAGAAATGATTATGGATAAAATAATACATACATTTTAAAATATGAATAGATTGCTTGATGTTATAACTTGTGGATGCGTGCACTGTTTAGTATATGAATGCCCAATTAGAGAGCAGTGGATTTATTGATCGTCCAATGATACACGAAAGCCGTGTGAACAGTCTTGAGTACTTATCAGTCCTGCTTTCTGCCTAGCCCAGCCAGTTAAGTCCAGAACACCGATAACAGCCTCTGCAATATGAATCATTATTCTCAAACATACTGGGTTTATATACCAAACAAACTGACCACATTGTACCACAAAATAGAAAATATAATTCTTACAAGATTTGGTCAGATGTGGCTGTGAATAGGGGGAAAGTAATCAATAGACTGGGGATAACTCAGGAATGGTAAATCGTATGATAATAGTCTATGGGTCGAAATAAAGCTTATAATAAGAGGAACATGAATATGAATAGTTAAGTTAATTAACAGTTATACAATAGGAAATATACATATCACATTGGTCCATAAATAGTCCTCAACGTTACAATTCATAATTCTCCACGGGATACAACACTTGAATTATTTTCTAATTTATATTCTGACAAATTAAATATTTGCATTAAATTTAAAATCTGCATTCACAAATAAAAACTAATTTTTTCTGATCATTTTAGAACCTGCCATTTTTACATAATAAATGTAGCATTATAATAGTTATTTGATATTATTTATTACACTCAATATAATATGCGTAAAGATTTTATTACAAATTTATTTGGCATTGTAGAAATGTCAGCTTTATTCAATATAAAGACACATTTATGTGTACAGGTATCTTTTGTATAATCATTGTTGTTGTGGACTAATATCTGTATTTATATTTTCGTGTTTTCCTTCATGTTTGATTAGTTTTTTCTATTTATTCTTTCTTTAATTTATATATCATCATATATTTAAAGCAATTAGTCCCTTTGATAAATTTCGATAATGTAATGAGAAGATGAAGATTATCAGAACTAGCAATAGAGGATGATGGATGTTTATCCTCTATCGCTAAACATATAATCGAAACTGGTCATAAGATTGATCTAAACTCGGCTTTTGTTGTGTTGTTTAAAAGTGTTAAAGGGCGTATACTAAGTTTTATTGAAGCCTTAGCCATACGAAAATTCAAACCCCCTTTGTGTATTCAAAAACAGTTTGTTCTCTCCTTAAACCTACCCTGGTAATATATGCTTATTATCCAGAGTGATTAGGTGTCAAATTGTTTTCACATTATTTTATCATTATTATCCTTGTCTATTCTTACCCCTATTTCCAGTCTAGTTGACCTTTTATTTTTATATATAAATGTTCTTAACAAGTATATGTGTGATCAGATTGTTCGAAATGTATTGCGCTAATATATCACATAGTTCTGATAATCTTCGTCTTCTCATTACATTATCGAAATTTATCATCATATACTTTGAGAAAGTTCATTTCCTTCAGATGATTCATTAATCTCAATTATTTTTCTACTATAATTATTATCGAGTTGTGTTTAAACAGTTTGTTTTTCATTTATAATGACCTTCATTTGGTTACATCGGAAATCCCACCACAATCTTCTACTTCTTATTATTACTTTCATGAATAAAAACTGCCACAAATTTTTTTTGGTAAACAAAATGGAATTCCATCTTGGTTTTATACTGTATGATTATTCACTGCTTCATTCCATCTACTTTGCTTTTGAATTTGGAAATAGTTTAACAAATGATCTATAGGCCTTTAAACTAGATATTTTTCTTATGAAATTTTTCTGCCAATATCCAATTAAAAGTCAAATAACTAGGAATTTTGTTATTTTGAAATTTACATATTGTCAAACGGTTTTCTTTGTGGTTATAAATACAAATTTCAAAATAATGATGTACATCAGTATTGTAAATTTAAGATTTTTTTAAAATAAGCCTATACTATATTCACTTGTTGTTGTTTTACTTGTATCTTCTCATTGTTATATTGGACTGCAATTGATCAGTCTCTTTTTGGCATAGGTGCATCCTATGCGGACAGCCTCGATATTGCCTGAAATCAGAAGCTTTATAAGCAGAGATGGATAGTGGCTAGCAGTGAAAGCCAGAACGCGCTTTTGATTTTATCTGCCATCAATGGAAAGATCCAAACAATCAATATCAAGTTTATTAAAACTTCACCCCATTGCACATGCAGGTGGCTATCAGGACTCAATAGCTGGGTGGATAACTCGATGGTGTTTGAAGCGAAAGGTACTGGGTTCGAGTCCCAGAGTGAACATGAACTCTGAGATGCAGGTACATACAGCTGACGAGTCCCAAATAAGACGAAACGCGCGTCCTAGATTCCACTTCTAGCCACTATCCATCTTTGCTTATAAGTCTATACTATATTAGTAAGAAAACAGGCTCATCAACTCCAGGTATATTTAAACTAAAATGAATAAAACCATCTACTTTTTTGGAGTAAAATCAGTTTTTTAATAAAGTTCGTGCAAACTTTTGTAAATTAAAAATTAATATAAACATACTATTTCGACGATTAGTGTAACTCTTAGCACTAGGAAAAATTATATAAAATCATTTTCATAACGTCACACTGATCCTCTGATGTAGAAAGTAATGTGATTTTATTTCTACATTAAACTTGGCTATGTGACATGAATTCCCTTAAGCAGTTTGTAACCATGATAAAAAAAACCAAAGTACTGGTGCCCAGTACCCGTGTTTCGTCCTCTTAAGACTCGATAGCAGTCACAACAAAATGAAGAGTCCCAAATAAGGTGAAACTCATGACGTTCATTTCAGTGTTAGCCATTATCCAACTTTCGCAAAAACGTATAACTAAATTATAATTTTGAGGATGGATGTACAGTGACTGATCGATTTTCAGTTCTCAATATCAACAACGAGAATATGTAATGCCCTGAAAATACAGTGAGACATTGTATTACATTATTCGGTATTATTATCTCCTTGAACTCTTCACAAATCTTTTTTTATAGTTTCCTGATGTGAAAACTATGAAACTAAAGTCACATAAACTGTTCATTTGAATTAACTTCGAAATATTTTTGATTTATAAGGATAAATGAAATATCAAAATAGTTTATTTACATGTACCAACTGTCTTTTTATGCAATTATTTATACTAATTCTTTTTAGAAAACCCAAGCCAATCAGAGCTGATTCATCTAGTCATGTTCAACAAGCCCAACCTTTAGATTCACTATCTGACTCAGTCAATCAGATACACAAAAGTAAACGTGCAAATTTCCAACAAAGTAAACCTAGTATGCCAATAATTTCTACTTCATCGCATCCGTTAGAATCTAAAGATGAATTATTATCACAGAATATTACTTTTAATAAAGATTCATCTAGTATTAATTCACTAACTGTAGATCGTTCGCGATCTATTGCTGAAGGTTATAATTTATTTGAAGGAATAAAACCAGATACAAAATCAGAAACTACAAAAAAGCATAGTTATATTCCATCTTCTTCTTATGCTACCAATGCTACTGCCACTACTTTTCTAAATACTACAAATACAAATGTTCAGTCTCATATTTCTAGTCCAAATACAGTACCTAGTTTAACAGCTGCTGCAAATACTATGGCGCTGACCACTGAAAGATGTCCATGGTGTCAGTGCATTCTAGATCATTATGATGAAAATACTATTGGTTTAGGTATTCTATGTTTATCTACATTTGTGCATCGTGAACCGGGTTTAGCAGCTCCATATTTACGTGATATGTTGCTAATTACAGCACGTCTAGCCAATGCATATTTTTACTCTTGGCAACCTGAGCTGTAAGTTATGTGCTAACATCTAAATAAACAGCGCAGAACATTTTTTCTCATCTAATCATTTTATTTGTCATATTATTTCATAAGAAAATACATTGTGTAACCAAAAAGTATTTATCATTTCTTTATAAAATCTCCCGTAGTTCATCGACTATATTTAAATGCAAACATCGGCTTATATCAAAATTTTCATTTTACAGACATATCTGTATTAGACTCAATTATTTTATTGACAGTATCAATCTTGTATAGAACTTATGCGGAATTTTCCATAATCTCCCTTTAATAAGGAATTTCAGCGTCCAGTAAAAATAATGTTATCATTAAATCAGTAACAAAAATTGAAATATAATTAGGTTTCTCTAAGTCAATCCTTTTAAGGTATTCACTTAACGAAATGAAAGTTAATGGGGTCATTTTTTGCATATTTTATCTTGTGCTCTAAATAGTATGAAAAAAAACTTGAAACCTGTTCTGGTTAGCACATATCATCAAGGTGTATTGACAATTACGAAGTAATCGTTACGTCATGTAGAATTTAAGCCCTCACTACTATATATTATCAACACAGATGATTTCTTTTGTAGGCACAAATATCACACTCGCCATAATATTCTGATGGAAAGTTGAAATTAGGGGGTTATTGTGAATGATAATGAGCACCTTGAACCCAGCTGTTTATTGTTACGAATGTTTAAATAATATTAACAGTTCTCTTATAATTATATAACTTTTTACTTGAAAATCAAATGTAACTAAACGACTTTAGATTAATTTGCAGTAGTTTAGATTATCCTATTTAAACTTCTGTTATAATGACCATATCAAGACGATCCCTACAGGTTGCACATTTTCCAACCAAGGCTGGTCAAATTTTAAAGTAAATATCAACAACGGGGTAATCCAAACCATTACAGATTAACTTAGGCGTTCATACCCGTCACAAAAGTGAGTGGCTGTATTGACTCAGTAGCTAAGTGGATAACGCATTACCGTTTGAAGTGAAAGTTATTGGGTTTCAATCCGGGAAAGGAAATCAACTCTGTGATCCAGGTGCGTTCAGCTGACGAGTCCCAAATAGAAGAAAATGCTAGCTACATTCCATCGATTACGTATAATTACTAGTTCATCCAAGAAAGGACTTCTCGTCGATAGTTCCACTTAATGGTAAATACCGCTGTAACTTATCTTTTTTTCGAAATGATAGTTGTGTAACTGAAAACAATTTCTGTCATTTACCTTAAAGGTCATCTTATATGTAATATCTTTTACTTCGTACATTCCATAAAAAAAAAATACTTTGCCTGTTGTATGATAGGGACTTTTATAAATTTAAAAAGTAAACTATCAATCAGATGATGCTTTTTTCTCTCTATCCTTTTAGTCCACATGTGATTAGTCCAGGAAATGTGGCAAGCATTGCTCATCAGTTTCTTCGTTGTACAATGTATAATTTAGCCCCGAACGGTTTGTTTACTCAACTATTTCAAACTCATATTACAGGCAAGTAATTAAGTCACAATAATTTTATCAGATTCTAATAAATGAACTATACGTTATCATCTAGCTGTTTGTGACAATGTTTTGTTATTAAGACAAAAAGGCTACTCCTTTTACTCACTTTTTTGACGATATGTAAAAGCGGAGATCGACATCTTTTAAATGTATAATCTGAATTATATCCAACGTAGAATTAGTTTTACCTATGTTACTAGCACCTATGAAATATATTACTTTTTGACCACACAGGATCTACATTTAAGGTTACCACTATCTGTAACCACCATCAGTGTTTGCGTCTTATTTCAGTCAAATTGTACATTTCATAACATTAACTACCCGTACTACGCCATGTACATCACCTAGTAGTCTTTGAACTACGATAAAGATTGTGGGACTATGATCATTCTTACCACAGAACTAAAATCCCTTGAAACGTATGTGAAAATTACAAATCCAGGAATTTATTGAGACCTGAGAGACAGAGAGAAAGTTATTGAATTTTTTCATGAATACATACCTCAGCTGAAAGGTTTAATGTACATGAAAATCAGAGATTAGACTGACTATTTTTACTGCAATCAACTAAAATAATGGTATCCATGTACCTCTATCTTGAACATAAGTTGAATCCTGTGATACAAAGTTTGCTTTATTTTAATTGAATTATTATGATTGTTCTAATAAAACATAATACTGGTGGTAATAGAAATTATAAATTATTTTTTTAACATTTCATTTGACATTCCATATTCAAATTATCATTGAACAGACCCTGAAACTTAGTTTCAAACCTTTTAGCAGCGGGGGTCCATGATCCATTCTATCGTACAAACAAGAAACTTGAACTGTTACAATTGATATTTAACTACCGGTCTACTAATGATATAATATAGTAACCATATTCTTATAGCAGATTTTGATTTACACATTGTGTATGAAGACTCAAGGAACTAATTGCTATTCTGTACAAAAGTCGGTTACGTGTGATCACAACATAAACTACGTGGGTTTGGGGGAGAATATTGGATTTTTAGTGACAAGTCTTGACCAATGAATTTCAATCATGTGATAATTATTCACTGTAGGCAATGAAAAATGGTATCACAGCATCACGAATGGTCCAAAGTCAGAGATGAATAACATCGGATGGTGGCTCGGTAATCCAGAGGTAAAACACTTCCGCAAGATTAAATGTTCAGGGTTCACTCATCGGTGGTAGAATCATGAAGGAGGATACCTTCACATTAACTGCTCAAAGTTTTCTAGTTCTCAATGGTTGTCTAAGAATGATCAATGCATGGTATAATCTCTAAAATAAAGTGGTTGTGTGACAAGTGTTCAAAATACTGAGTCAATACCTACTATTTCTGCTTAAAGTTGATGGCGATGCTTACTAGCTTAATGTTAGAATAAAGTTCAACTGTTATCACCAATGTGATCTATGAAAATTTAAAGGGTGTAACTTCTCGTTATTTTGAAGTTATGACAAAACAATGGTATCGGTACGAATACTTTTTGTGTGAACAGCTTAAAAAATTCTTCACTTATCATTAATTACAATTTAAGTACACAAATCATTTTTATGACCTCTCCTTTTCTTCCTTTCTTGTTTTGTGCTGTTTCGTTCGAATAGATGATAATTTCTTTAGAACAATCATATCTGTGCTAGTTGATTTTGAAGATCATATGTCCATTTTCCAACCGATCAGTTTACTGATGGAATCATTAAACAAGCAAAAATCAATTAGTCTTGATACTCTACCTATCCTGTTAGAAAATCTTGCTAATTATCTAGAACATTTACCAAATTTAACAGATGACAGTAAATTAAATCACTTTATTGCCTCTGGATGGACTGATATAATTGGACCGTTGGATTTATTTTTAAGAAAATTAGCCACTGTTACACCGATACCAATTAATTTAGCTACAACTGTACGTATTATGACCTATGTATTACGCTCACCTGCTGCATCTAATTTCAAGGTAATCTCAGTATATGGGTATTGTGATAATTTTTATGTATTGTTCGATTTATATACTTTATCTTTATAATAGAGTTTGATTGTACTCTTCCTATATTGTCTAAAAAGTTGGCGGAAAAGTTTTCAAAGAAGCGTTTTTCAACTAAACCTATCAGTGCTAAATGAATATTTAAATTAAGATTGTGTTATGTGGACATTTGTAACTCTAATCCTTTTTTCTTCGCTGCTTTCGCATCTATGATACCATGTGTACTTTTGAAATCACTAGTTATATATGATTAGTCTCCAGATAGATGTTATTAATAAAATATACATTATAGTGTATTACGATAAACGAAAACTTAGAATCAAACTACAAAGCGACAATTAAATGTATACAAAAAGGCTAGTTAGTGGAAATAGACAGGAATATTCTCTACTTCTGATATTATGCTAAAAACTTAGATGGTAAGCCTCAGCTTCTGATGATATTTCTAGACATTTCAAACTCGTATACCACAGATTTATTATCTTGAGAATAAAAAGTCAACATTATACTTGTTCGGTCTTGTTTTATGCCAACATGCAATAAAGTTAGTTAGTTTCGGAAAAAGATTCCTGAAAAGTAATTTTCAGTTTATATTGCAACTGCTCAGTAACAACGAATAATTCAAAGAACACACAAACATAGAGAAACCAGGTTCAATCTAACTCACCTATACGTTTCTTAAAATATGCTTCTAATTGAACGATTAGACCTACAAGCAAATCAATGGAACTCTCATTATAGCGAACGATGACACGAGTGGAGACAATCGAATGTATTCGAACACAAAATTACAGAACATGTTAGTAAAATCTGAGATTCATACAGTGAATACTTAATTTGAAAAATGTAATTAAATTGTCTCAAATTTGAGTGTGCCTTTTGCAAATACCAGTCAATCGTCTCAGACTTCATTGTTCCCACATTTCCATACCAATTGCTTTCTGTTCTCGTTATTTCCTCCTCGATATTCTTGACCTTCTGCTGCCAGACATTCTATTCCTATCTGTCGCTATATACAACTTATGTCGATATAAGGAACACACACCACACTATTAGGCCACGTAAATCACGACTAATCCCAGAGATTGCGGTTCCAAGACTTGTACTCATTGTTTTATCAATAATCACACCAACGATTCGGATACTTTGGGTAGTTTATATATGTGTTATTCCGAAAAGAAACCGACTAGTAAATACTTATGAACTGATTAAAAACATCTTTGACGACACTAAATTTACAAGAGAAGAAAAATCAGAAAAAAAATTTGTTCTTGAATGTCTTGTTAAATAAAACAAACACTAGAACGTTGGAGGCAAAAGTGTACAAGAACCAAATTCATATTTATCAAACAGTAAAATACGACAGCAAAAAACTAGCAATATACAAGAAGAGTTGTATAAAGACATTATTCCAATGAGAGAAAATACACTTCAGCATAGCCGCTACGTAGAAGACTGAGAAAACTCTTCTGATTGTCCTCCGTAAAAATAAAGATTCTAATGGCCCTCTGTAGAAGTTTCTAGTCGGTCTACCCAAAATCACAAAATCAACGTCAGAAACTAGGAAACGGGTGGTTCCTAAATATGTGAAAAATATATCCGAAATCACTACGAGCATTCCGAAACTTTTTGGAACCACTCATAATCTAATTCAATCATTTCACTTCATTTATACAAACTGAAAGATGCAATAGAAAAAGAGGACAAACTCAGCGTAACCTACGGAATAAATTGTACCAACAGCGATAAACACTAAAATGGACAAATTATATGTCTTTTTTACTTAGTCACACACAAACAAAAGCTCATAGTGGTACAACACGATATATTATCACTGACACTAATGCCTGTAGGCAACTAAGGACATAACTTCGACTACTAAAATGTTGAAGTTCTGTATCGACGAAATTGTAAGTAAACCAGTCAATTTTTGGAAGTATATCATTCATGAATTATGGGACACATCAAACTAGACCTGATCCACTATCCATTTGAATAAGGTTAATTAACAGCATTCTCAGATGTTAACGAAACGGGGAATTCAAGCTGAATCCAAGGACAAATAAGGACCACGACGTTTACTATTACAACCAGTCACAAACAAGGCCAACAGTACAAGTTGATTTAATGCTCGCAAAATAAATAAAATCTAACTTCCACATAAAGTAAGCGCTGATGATTTTCTCTAAAACAACAATGAAAGCTTCTTAATTCGACTAACTAGCTTAGAGAATCCGACAACATTAAAATATTGCTATATTAACTTCATTAATTAACAATTTATGAAGAAAACAAACATTAACAGGATTTTAGGGAATTGAGTATTGCTTTTATTTGGAAAGCTATAGCCGGTGATTTACTATGAATTTAGTATTGTCATTATCAGTTAATGAGCTGCGATTCAGTCACTAAAACTTTTGAAATTAATATAAAATCATAGTTGTGATGTTAAAATTAGAAACTGTTATTTTATTAAAGGAATATTTAAAGCAGTTAGTCCCTTTGATAAATTTCGATAATATAATGAGAAGACGAAGATTATCAGAACTGTGTTCTTAACAAGTATATGTGTGATCAGATTGTTCGAAATGTATTGCTCTAATATATCACATAGTTCTGATAATCTTCGTCTTCTCATTACAATAAAGGAATATTATCGCTTTTCAAGCTACATTTAAATATCCCTGATAAGCTGTTTCTCTGTATATTTAATCATAATCATACACAACTTAGTGAGTATAATACTCGAATTTAATTTTATTTCGTGAATATTTCTTTTAAATTGTGTATTGTATTTGATTTATTTACTTCTGCTTTTTTTCTTTATGAATTATCCAGACACTTCCGGATACTTTTTCAAATTTACTTCGTATTATTGTCGAGAATGTACATTTTCGTTTGACCAGTGTCATTGAATTATGCTCTTTAAGTAATCGAGTACTAAAAGTAAGTTATTGATTTCTTTTAACACTTTACAGTAATTTAACTTATAGTAAATGTTAACCACATATTCCCATTCTGATATAGTTTTAATACTCTTGTCTTGAATAAATAACAAAAATCCATTAAGGAAATAGTCTTACAAATTAATAATCCACTTGTATATTAAATAGTTTGAAATAACTTGCAGGTAGATGTACATGTAAACAGATCAGTTATTTAGATCGAAAACCAAACTGCAAGTTATATAGTGTTGTATTTTCATGTAATCAAGAGGATCAATGGGTCAATAACTAGCTCATTACAGTAAATAACACATGAGGACAACATATAACGTCTGTCCCTGCATCTAGAGTTTGGTGTGTATCAGCTTCGATTAATTACAAATGCAAATATTCAATCTAACACTCTTAATTCTGTATGTTTTACAATATCCTATTATTTTTGAAATTCAGATTGCTATAAATATATTTTTGCTATATCCCAGTGAATAGAAAAGTTAGATTTCTGTCATTTCGTGACTATTGTGCCATTTGAATTTGTGTTAATTTAATTCAGTTATTTATTTACTCTAGAGAAGTGGCTTACACTAAGTCACGAAAGGTCATAAATTTAAATTTTCTACTCACTAGGATATAACAAGGAAATATATTTATTCTTAACTTTCTACCCGATGCTCAGTTTATTTGAAACTATCAATCCCAACCTTGGCATTGATACTTACGAACTTACTGTATTATCATCTATTAAAACTTATAACATTGTTATTTAAATATTCAAAAGAAAAGAAACGAATTTTTTATTCGACAATGAACTTTCTATTCAAGTTGGATGTGTACTGATCTTACTCGTCAAGAATTGTATAGCTATAGTGATAAAAATAATACGACTTAAATTCTACCTATATGTTTTATTGAATATCATCAGCAGACATGACACATAGATTCATTAAAATTTCTACTTCTCTAAGATTACTTTGCACATCTTTTTGACGTACTAGAGCATTAATGATATGAACAGGCTCTCATTATGATTTTCGACAATAAAATAGATGCCATGAGAGACATAAAAGATTAGTTTACAAATCTTAAATAATATAAAAATTCCCATCGGATGTTCTAGAACAAAGAATGTTGGAGAAAACTATCATTTCCGATAATCTCCTCGTCAGGCTCACCATTTATTAATCCAAAATTATTATTATGTTACAATAGATAAAATATTAAATTTGAATTAAGCCATTTTTTCGATTGGAAATGATGAATTTTACAACAACTATAACACAACAATTCCTACATTACTACAGTAGGATTTGTGAAATTGTATAATTTTAGTAGTTCAAATCACGAAATGATCTCATTAAACCACCATTAGAAACCTGAAAGAGATGGATAACCGTTTCGTTCTAATATGGAGCTCCTGAACAGTAGTCACCTACAACTCCGCATCCGGAAACCGAACCCGAGACCTTCGATCTCGCGTTGAAGTCACATACTAAAACAAAACGGCCGTCCAGGGCTTTCTGATTTTCAGTATATGTCTAAGGTCAGTTTGTGACTTCAACTATGAAAATTCCTATTTTCGATTAACTTTTTTTCACATAAGATTCTAACTTATTGGTTGGGATTCATCACCTTAATATCTATAATTTTTCCTTTCTCAACATTATCAATGTAGTTATTTTGTTTTATTAGTAATTTGTATTATTTAAGACTCAATCGTAGTCATTTATCAATCACAGAAACATTACGAAATATATATTCATTGGTTTCCTAGCTAGAATATCATGAAATAAGTTGTCGACATCTTTAGATTGTTTAAATGGCATTATACGCAGACACAAATCTCTTCATTATTTATTTGTTAATAAATAGTTTCTTTTGAATTATTGTTGTATTAACACTTCAGTTATTTGTGACTTCAAAGTTATTAAATTTATATTATTATAACTTTATTGTCTAAAATAATGAGCAAAATTTTGGAAGACTATTGTATGAAAGAGGAAATAGAAGAATTCAATTATGTTTGAATAAGCAGATTTTATGGCTTCAGTTATATTCTCCAATATGAAAATGAGTAACTTTTATCATTAAAATAAACTGAAATCTCATAGCAAATCATGTTTACTTATTATCCATTCTTTATGTTATGATTGTTTTGCTAATAAACAACCCAGCTACTCCTATTGCTTCGTATTCTTATACAATGACACTCAACAAGACCCCAAAATCAGAACACGTTGAACAGGAACGAAACTGTATTCAAAATAACAAGGGTAGGTGAACAGCAATCAATCGTTAGAAAAGCATTCATATATTTATAGTATATGCATAAGAAGCTTATAGATGTTTCTCCAACAATCTGCCGGAGCTGATTGGTTTAGAATTAGCCAATCAGTGTGCACCATCACGATCATGCACATAACATGCCTTAATCCGGTTTATTTCCCGCTAACACTTTTTTATATCTTTCTTCTTTTCTTCCCCTTCAATAAATAGGATCGTACTAAAGCTCAATTGAGTAGAACTATGGTTGATTTATTTTATCAATCAATTAAATTTCGTGCTTGTATACCTGATGAAAATTTGATAAAATTATTACAAGTAAGTATATAAGTAGAAAATCCCTTCGCTGAACTTCGCATCTTTAATTCTAATGTTTAAATGGGAATTATATGCAAATTGTAATTAAATAATAATTGGTAATAGATAAGGAACTTTCTTAATATATCACTGAATAGATGAATAAAATGTTACAACATTTTAATTTTTTTTTTATTGCCAGTGTTCACATTATGCACTCATGTCAGTTGGAGAACTAATGAAAATAATAAAAACTAAATGGCTGTTTTGTTTGAGTTTTGAAACTTTTGAAGAGTGTATACATCGAAACCTATAGGTCTTCCACGTACCCCCATAACATTCCACCAATGGTCCAGTATCCGACATAGTGCTTCGTGAATTTAAGAAACGATGTAGACTATAATCTTTATGAAACTTTGAATTACCAAGATGGTTTTTTAAGTAAATAAAGCAACAAGAAAATACTTTATTTTTTAACGAACAGTATTTTTCTACCACAAAGTAGCCTCCTAGGTTTGAGGCAGTTCCAACTAAAACTTTACGAATCCGATGTTTCATTCGGATTTACCACACTAAGTTTAGGAGTTCGATGCCGATTGATTCCTAGAGTGCCTAATCATATATCAAGTACCGTTTTGTTAATCCGTTCACTTTGTATGACTTACTGCATAGAACTTTAGTCAGTGCTAAATAATCTTACTTATCCAATTATGGTCAATGCTGAATATAACAAAAATGTTTGTCCAGAAGCCTGAGTACTTAATTCATGGCTTTCCCTTACTAATAGTTACCATATAAAGCTGATTTAAAAATATGCTACACATTGTTAATTTATCGCCTTAGTCATCAGAACCTTGTCTAACATCTAGACATCTAATGAAAAATTACAATTTAGTTCAAAGTAGTTTTGTAGAATTGATGAAATAGATAGTCGGAACGGTATGAATCTGTAAATCTCATATTCCAGTGTGATTATTTAATTCCTACGTATGAAAACTTATAAGCTTCAATAAAGTTAAAGATAAATTAAATTTCAAAAAACACAACAAAAAAATCAAATTGCATTGTTAATATTGACATGCTTGATCAGTGTTCTAAAGTGATTCCTAATATTTATTTCCTTTAAACGACTAACAAATATTATTTGCAATAATCGCATCTATCGTCAGACAAAAATGTAACATTAACACCATTTATAGAATATATTTGATGTGGACGTTTCATTCTATTTGGGACTCGCCGGCTGGGACAATCCAAACAATTTCAAAGTAAATTAGATCTCATACCCACTGCACAAGTGTATGTTTATCTTGACTCATTAGCTAAGCAGATAATACTATGACATTTGAAGCAAACAGTACTGGGTTTGAGTATCGAAGTGAACACCAACTCAGTGATGCAGGTATATCTAGCTGATGAATCACAAATTGAATAAGCATTATATTTTTCTGTATTTATCGGTTAACTTAAATACCGTAAATGGACATACATTTTTCTTGATGATCTGTTTTTTTTTCAAGTTCATTCTCATGGATGCTGGTGGTACTATAGAACCAAATCAAGTTGTTGAAGGTTTAACGACATTATTTAATCCACAGACTTATCATTTATTTCCAACTGGTGCAGCTGAATTAATGAGACCGCATTTACCTGATTGTTTAGCTTTTATATCAGATATTCATACAGTGAATAAGGTGAATTGTTTGTTTTGGTTTTCAATTCATTCATTTTTATTTCATTACATGTAACACCGTTGACTATAGTAACCTCTTTGAATTAACCAATAATTTCAATAAAAATCAATAACTTACACTTGAAAATCGTTGTGATCTAGGAAATATACAGTCAAAAACTTGTTTCAGACTTCTTTTGATGGCTGAGGCAGAAAGAGGATGATTGTTAAGAAAATTTGGTGTAAATAAAGGGGAAATGACCCAAAATGTTTTTTTTGTGGCCTGCCAGGAAGAAATAGTGAAAATTTTCTCTTAACTGTTTTCCTAGAGGGAAATGTCTATTTTTAGCCTAAATTTACTCGGAATAGTCTACATTTTGTCTACATTTCCGACTAATTAATGGACGCAGAATAATCTACTTTTAGCTTGTCTTTCAGTAAGGAAACCAGCTTCTTCACACAATCGCTTTAATTTAAAAGTATGTTACAGTCATTTTATCAAAATACCAACCGACTTTGGTCAAATTTTTCTATCCCTCTTTCTCTCTCGAGTTCTTTGAGGGAGATTTTCTCAACCTACCCACTGATTTATATGTCACAGAAAATAACTAATCCAAAAACTAGTTTACGCTTATTTCATTAGTCTCTGTTTTTGTTGATAAGTGAATCTTTTTGTCAATAAATATTTGAATATCAGTGGTTTCCATGCTGATTTTAGTAAAACACTAGTTATTTCACAAATAGGTAGACTGTTTTATAAAATACAACACTATGATAATCTCTTATGCCAGATTTTATTTAATGATTTCTGAATGGATAATGTAATTAATAGTTGAAAAAGTGAGATACATAAAATGTGTGTAATGTGTCGCCATTTACACATACCGATTTTCATTGAAATCATGAACTGATCTCAGTCAGAAAATCATTGAAAACCTGGAAGCACTAGATTTTTGCTTCTTCATAGCATGGGACTCCTCAGCAATGCGCACCCATGACCCCACGTCCATGAATCGAATCCAGAACCTTCGGTCACATATGCGAATGAAATTCACAAATCTCCACAACTCTTTCATGATAATGATTTTCGTTTTGAATTTCACCTTATTTCCTGATCCCATTGGACATTTCCCATTATCTATAATCGCTGCATTACAACCTAAATTCTAAGTATGATAAGTAAGCGGTTTAAGTTGTTGATATTAATAGGAAGTTTATATTGGAAATGAATGATGAGTAAATATATGCAATAATTTTTTATTTTATTATCTAGTCTAACGAATGAACCATTCTTGAAAAATAACAGGAAAGAGTGGATTATGTATTTGACCATTACAAGTTTCCACTGAACTACATTAGTTTTGTTTGTAATGCTACTGAGATTGACTAAATGAGTATCTAGCAGATATACGTTTATTTTATATAGATTATCAAGTTATTATTTCATTTGCTCTTATCGGATTTATTTTCAATAATTTGAGTGTTCAAAGAACTTTCACATGACTAAGATTTATGTCTTCGGATTACCTCGCAATAGGTTACTGATTATATGACTAGTGTTTTTCTTTTCAGGTAGTACACACTAAAAGGCTAGTTTCTAAAAGATAGATGCATCTTTTTCCTGTATTACAGATTAAACAGTCTCAAAAATCAGCAGTTCAGTTGAACAGCGTTGGATATGGACTTGGTTCTTCATTTATGATGTCCGGATCAAATCCATGTGGTACTGGTAATCTTGATTCAAACACACTGACAGGCGGTGGAGGAGCAACATCTGGAAATATAGGTAGTAGTTTATTTGGTGGAGGTTTTAATTCATCAGGAGTATCAAACTCTGCAACAGGAGCTACGGGTGTTAATTCTAACGTTGGGTTAGGTACAAATATTCCAAGCTTTCATGAAGATGTTTTAGGTGCACATTTAAAATCAGGTTTATCTCAGTATGTTTCATTGGAGCTATCTAGATCTAACAGTGGAAGTGACCACGATGTCTTACCTTTACTTGCACCCGGATTACTGGCCGATGTAAAAACGACGAGGAGCGGTAAAAATTTAGCACCTGGATTACCAGCCCGATCAAAGGCAGTCGCCAGTGCCCCCAGTTCGAATGTCACTTCAATGGGTTTAACGGGAAAAAGTTTAAACTTACTATCTGAGAGTGGACATACTGCAAATGTGGAACAATCAAATGCACAAATTAAACTTAGTAAAAATAGTGGATCAGTTGTCAGACGAAATGAGCCCCATTCAGATACAGCCAATACTGCTATTACACAACCTAGTGTCAATCCTTCACCTAGTTGTAAATCTAGCGAAACTAACTATACACGTTCAACGATACCAATAACCCAAACATCCTCAACTAAAAAGCAAGAAGCTACTAACACAAAACTAATTTCTTCCGCGATTCCCATCCCATCTCCAGCAATTTCATATGATCAGATTTCTTCTACTAATGTTACAACTTCCACTACGACTACATCTGTTTCAAATTTGACTTCGCCAAATCTTGTCTCATCTACATCTACCACGCCACAAACAATCTCTAGTCCTAGTTCAGCTAATTCTCGACACCCAAACTATGCACATGTAATGCTCGCTTCAACATTTTCACATACGGCTCATTCAGAAGCAATTATATTACAGTATTTACCTTGGTTAAAATCCACTCCACCTTCATCTCAATTAGGGTAAGCGGAAGAAAATTTTCAGTCCATTCAAATTTTTTTCTACGTATCTATTTCATAAACAAATCAACTGCCTTCAGACTGAACTATATTTACATTATGTTTAATCTGTTGTGTTTCTTATCGCCTTTTTAATAATTTAGACCAAAAGATTTTCTTATCATGGTTGAAAGAGTTCGCACATTATCATGGCTTTTGCTTGGTGCCACAATGAATATGGCATTAACACGTGAGGCTACTGGTTTATCTTGTCGTCCTATACCACTTAATTTAGTTCCTTCAGTGGCAGATTTGGTCAAAGCATTGTTAAGTGGCTTTCCTGATCAACAAAAAGTATGTTTTTATTCAAAGATGACGAATATGTTGCACTATATATATATATATATATATATATATATATATATATATATATATATATATAATATTTTGATGATATTCAGTTGATAAATAAATATATTGAAAGTTGGACTTTGGTCAGAGATAATTAACATTTAACTAAGTTATGCATAAATGCTAACAAGAATGGAACTTTCAAAGTAATACATTCAAGGGAAGATAAAACGTATACGTGAAAATATAGGGATACGTCTCGAGATGAATCACAAAGTTCTCTCCTTTACTTGTCACTTAGTTACAGAGATGGTTTCATTGCCTAAGTTAGCTGGGTTGACAAATCTGTGTTACTGTGACTTTCTCCAGTCTCACAATTTCTATCATTACTTCAGTAAACTTCTGGTTCTCCAAAACATGTGATAATGAAAGCTTTCATTCTTATCTCATATTTTCAGATTGTGATGATGATTTTCACCATTATTTTGACAGGCGCCGTACTGGTCTTTTATATTTCTGAAAATAGTCTTTCTCACTGATCGACGTGATCTCAAGAACTTAAAGAAACTATGAAACACAAGTCATTCATCTCTTCCTAAGTTAAAACTCTTTAGTAGTATGAATACTACGTAGTATCGAACATGGGATCTTTAAATCTCATAGTGATCACTTTACTCTTAGACCACTGACACACAATCCAGCAGCAATCAGTCTTATCCCTTAATCTTCACTACTAAATTGTCGTTCATTTCGCTTTCACGTAAATCAAACTTGAATGACTGAGGAAAGTTTTATAATTATTTACAACACTAAACTGGAAACGTTTATACATGTTTTATGCAAACTGTATTTTTAAGATTACATCTTACTGATAAAACCATTGCGTATGGTAAAAATTTATAGCAAATGCACCGATGTAAATTTCCTTCATTCTATCATGTTTTTTTTGCTTTTACAAAACATACAATGACTGATGTACTTAAATATATGCGGAAATATACACTTTACAGTCCTCAGCATTTCAAGCTATTTGATTTTAAATTGAGTTTTTTAGTTCTTCCCACGCATTTCCGAGTGTAAATGAGCGAATTGAGAAATTCATTACTATCAATTGCGATATTGTAATTTTCCCTTACATATTAACAGAATTATTCATTATTGCAGTTGCTCGTTATAACACTCTTCTCAATAAACAATTAAATTTATAAAAAGTAACAGTAACAGATAACTGAATGTATCAGTGATTTTAATTAACAACTTAGTCACAATATGCTTAATCAGTTTTTATAGTACTACATTATTATGTTTAAAACACAATAAAGTGATTCTCTGTTTCTTTTAATCTTTCAGCAATCTGTCACTGTAATGTCATCATTGTATCATGTCTTTCTACTATGTCAAGTAAGCATGACTGTATGTGTGTGCAGATATGTGTTTATCTCTTAGTTTGACCTTATTTTGCTTATTTTTTAATATATGGAAACGAGGGGATAGACACCATAAATAGATAGATTTTCACTAATAGTAGAAAATAAAATTTACTAGTGTATATATTCTCCAAAATAAAACATCGCTTATGTTGAACAGAGTTGTGTAAATAAACTAAAAAGGTTAACTGGATTTTTATTTCTCCTGAGATGTAGAGGAAATTTAAAAATTCTTCATATCCCATTGATCAATTAATTCTAAATGAATTACTTGGAATATACTATCCTCAATTTTTATTAAGAATAATAAAATTAAAAATTGTTTAAAAAATTGTTCTCATATGTTTATATAATCATTGACTATAGATTACAATACAGACAAATTGAAGTTATCAGAAGAGGGTTCTGTGGAGATTTTAGTAAGTTTATATAGTTGAGATCATGAGTCAGTTGAAGATAGACAACCATGGAAAGCCTGGAAGCACTGAACGGCTGTTTCGTACTATTGTAGGACTCCTCAGCAGTGCGCATCCATGATCCCCAAATGCCCTGGTACGGCCGAGAGTGGGAAGAGTCAGCTCTCCATCTCAAAATGCTCTCATATGGCCACGCGAATATATAGCCTCTGCCAGGGAAGTCCTACTCACTGCCTTCTCGTGGCGGGGGTGTTGTTTACGAAAGTGAGAGGACGAAGGGCGAATGTCCGGCGCTTTAACCGGGTTGGTGGACAAGGCGAGTCCACCTAGAGGAGTTGGAATACCCTAATTCCAAATCAATGGTGCACATGGGCTCCAGTATCCTGATGGAACGAATGGCGTATGAACCAACTGTTGGTCACCGGCTACCATGGGACTACATCTCCTTACGATGTTCCACTGCCTTGTGGACTAGACCTTTAGATCAAAGGCTTCGGGTGTGGCCCCCTAAGAAAACCACCTGCTTCAGTCTGGGCTCCCGGACAGTATCACAGCCCTCTCGCAAATAAATGAAATGGTGAGTTCTATTGACCATACTATTCCTGCTCATACTAGAAGCAAGGTAATTTACATTATTATTATTATCTTTATTATTATTATTATTATTATTATTATTATTATTATTATTATTATTATTATTATTTACCATATCACTAATTCACCCCCTTTTACCCCCAATTTGTGTAACCTTACTTTTCAACTTATGCAGCAGCTCGCTCTTGGTGAAAACTCTGACCTATCTAAACGATCTCCAGCTACTGTCTGGTTGAAAATGAATGCTTCCACCGATTACGAATACTGAACCAGTCTTTCTGAAACCACGTACGCCGTTCAAGCTGGCTTCCTTCAACGTTCGCACACTAATGCATATCAGACAACAGATAGGGCTGGCTATGTCTTTGGAAGGTCTTAATGTTGATGTTTGTTGTCTATCCGAGACCCGTATTCAAGACTCTAGTGAAGTACTACAAATTCGCTCTCCATCTGTCGCTTCGAAAATCTTGTTTCACGTGTGCTTATCCGGGGACTCTGTGGCAACTTCGTCTGGTCTTGCTGGCGTTGGTGTCGCACTAAGCGCTAGGGCTGAGACAGCACTAATCGATTGGATCCCCATTAACAGTCGTTTATGTGCTGTTAGATTAGAAAGTTCCATCAAAGTGAGAAGAAACCGGCGTGAGTAACGGTGTCTTTTCGTCATCTCCGACTATGCCCCGACAAATTGCAGCCCGGATGCAATCAAGGATGAGTTTTAACACCAGTTAACAGTTCTTCTCCAGAAAGCGCGTTCGACAGATATTGTAGTACTAGCCGGAGACTTGAATGCTCAGGTCGGGCGTCTAGGCACAGAAGAGAGTCGTTTAGGTGGCCGATGGGGACTTGTTGGTCGCAGGACAGATAACAGGGACCGTTTGCTGCAACTGTGCACAGACCACAACCTGTTTCTGGCCAGCACTAACTTCCGGCACAGTCATCGCTGGTGTGCCACCTGGCGTCCTCCCTCTGCATCCCAAGCCTGGACTCAGATTGATCACATCGCGATCAGCTACCGCTGGCGTGGTTGTGTACAAGACTGCCGCTCCTTTCGGAGTACCTATCCGGAGTCTGATCATTCCCTGGTCTGCGCCAATCTCACCTTAGTTTTCAGTGGCCGAAGGATTGACCACCACCAACGGATTGATGTTAGTAAACTGGCTGCAACTTCTGTTGCAAGTAAGTATCGAGTGGAGCTAGCCTCTAGGCTAGCTACCACCCCACCGAAAAGTATAGATGAGCATTGGTTGCATCTTCACGACGCCATGAAAATGGCGAGTAAAGCCGCTTGGGGCTTCGCGAAACGTCCCGCTTACAAGCACTGGGTTTCTTCTGGCTCCTTACAACTGATGGAAGCCCGTCGGTCTACTCCGGGTGACCGTGAGTTTGACCACAAACGAAGGCTGTTACGTAATGAAATCAGGCAAAGCTTGCGTAAGGACCGGGAAGCCTGGTGGTCGGAGCGTGCTAATGAGATGGAAGCAGCAGCTGCATCTGGTAACTGCCGGAAGCTCTTCCAACTCATTCGAGCCACTGGCAGCAAGAAGTCTGGTGTGAGTGAAACAATCTACGAGGATGATGGGATGCCAATCACTAATATCTCTCGACGTCTTGGACGATGGGCGGAATTCTTCGAAGGGCAGTTCAACTGGCCTGCTGCTCCGGCAACATCAACCAGCTTGTCCTGCCCTCCATGGTCGGTGACGACTGATCCACCAAACGAGGCGGAAGTCCGCAAGGAACTCCAACTCTTGAAACGTTACAAATCACCTGGCCCAGATGACCTACCTCCGGCTCTTTTTAAAGATGGTGGTGACCTTCTGACTAAGGAATTGACTGTGTTGTTTGGAAAGGTTTGGGAGGAAGAAAGTGTTCCAACATCATGGAATGAGTCAATAGTCGTCCCTATCTTTAAAAAGGGTTCACGTTGTTCCTGTAACAACTATCGGGGGATAAGTCTACTTTCGATTGCGTCCAAACTATTGGCTTCTGTCATTCTTCGTAGGTTGTTTAAAACCCGAGAACGATTGACTCGCGAGGAGCAGGCTGGTTTTCGTTCTGGTCGAGGATGCATTGATCACATCTTCACCCTCCGCCAAATGTTAGAACACCGTCATACTTATCGCAGGCCAACAATCGTAGTGTTTCTTGATATCAGGGCGGCCTTCGATTCGTTGGACAGGACTGTTCTCTGGGATTGTCTATTGAAGAGGGGTGTGCCTGAGAATTTCATTAACATCTTAAAGGCCCTGTATACGAACACCTCAGACAGAGTGAGGCCATACAACCACCTTTCTCCCTTGTTCCATTCGAGCAGTGGGGGTCAAGCAGGGTTGCCCGATCTCACCATTCCTCTTCAACTTTGCTATCGACGACATCCTGGACACAGCTCTGATGGATGTAAGTAATGGCGGTGTGGATATGTTGCCTGGAGAACGACTTCTCGACCTTGAGTATGCGGATGATATTGTCTTACTGTGCGATAATGCTCAAGCCATGCAATCCGCACTTAATCAGTTGGCAATCAGTGTCCGCAGGTACGGCATGTATTTTTCACCCTCCAAGTGCAAAGTACTCCTACAAGACTGGCAGGATTCTAATCCTGTACTCACCCTGGATGGTGAGCAGATTGAAGTAGTTGAGAAGTTCGTGTATCTAGGTAGCTATATAAGTGCTGGTGGTGGCGTGAGTGATGAGATTGATGCACGTATAATGAAAGCCAGAGCGGCTTATGCCAATCTGGGCCATCTTTGGCGCCTTCGTGATGTTAGTCTGGCTGTAAAAGTTCGGATCTACAACGCGTCGGTGAGAGCAGTTTTGCTCTATGCTTGTGAAACCTGGCCTCTCCGAGTTGAGGATATTAGACGACTCTCTGTGTTCGATCATCGTTGTCTCCGAAGGATTTTTGACATCCAGTGGCAACACCATGTTAGTAATGCAGAGGTTCGGCATCGTGTGTTCGGGCGCAGAGACGATAATTCAATTGGTGTCACCATCTTGAAACACCGACTTCGGTGGCTTGGATATGTTCTACGAATGTCGTCCCAGAGACTTCCACGTCGTGCATTATTTGCCGACTCTGGGACTGTTTGGAAAAAGCGGAGAGGAGGTCAGTGTATGACATGGTGTCGTGGCATGAAAGAAAGCTGCAAAGGGCTAGCTTCTGTTGGTCCTTCACGACTCCCTGGTTGGGGTTCGAGAGATGGTGCAACACAGTGGCTAGAGACGTTATCAGATATGGCTCAGAATAGAAGCCAATGGCGATCCTGCTGTAACCTTCTTTTACTTTCTTCATATCTTTCCTAACTGAGAGAGCTCTTCTGGTTGTACATTCCAGTTCCCCCCATCATTACTCTTCTCCTTTTCATTTTTTCCTTCTTTTATATATACACATCTTCCTTCTCCTCCCATTCTCATTATTTTGTGTGGCGCATATGTATCCGGTGCCCATTGTACCAATATATATGTGATTAAATAAATAAATCAAATAAAATCCAGCAATCGCGAGATTCGAACCCAAGACCTACAAGTCTCGTGCCAGAGCACTTAACCGATAGACCACCAATAGGACGAATCGGCCGTCCAGTGCTTCCAGGTTTTCCATGGTGGTCTAGCTTCAATTGACTCATCATCTCAACTATATAAAATTGAAGTTAACCTAAATTATTTTCTATGTATTCTGTTCAACAATACTTCATAAAACATCTGCCTATTAAACATAATTCAAGACATTAAAATTATTTATAATTTGTTTGGTATTTTTATTAAAAGACATAAAAATTAGGAATAGATTTATAAGTTTGTAGACTTGAAAATCATTGCAAAAGAAAACTATTAAGTGATGAATTCACTTAGTATTGTTTGTTTGAATCTTTTCATTGATGTTTAGGACTGTAACTGGTCAGTCTCTAATTCGCATATGTACATACTGTGCGTATTGCCTCGATATTGCCTTAATTCACAAGCATTGTAAGCAAAGGTGGATAGTGGCTAGCAATGGAATCCAGGACGCGCGTTCCATCCTATGCACACATGCCAATAAGAGACTGATCAATTACAGTCCTAAACATCAATAGGAAGATTTAAAAAAAAACAATACTAAGTGAATGTAAACTTCACCCCATTGTACAAGCAAGTGGCTCTCAGGACTCAGTAGCTGAGTGGATAACGCGATGTCGTTTGAAGCGAAGGGTACTGAGTTCGAGTCCCAGAGTGAACATCAACTCTGAGATGCAGGTACATACAGCTGACGAGTCCCAAATAGGACGGAACGCGTTTCCTGGATTCCACTGCTAGCCACTATCCATCTTTGCTTATTAAGTGATGAGCTCAATTATAGAATATAAATACTTTTTTCATCCCTAAAATTGTTAATGAAATAACATTACGTTGATTAACTAGATAATAATAATAACAATAATAGTAATAACAATAATAATGATAATAATAATAATGTTAAACTCTATACATATCTTCATTTAAATCTGAAATTATTGGATTATTTTAAAAATATAAAATTCATTTAAGGTATGGACTATTTATTGTGAAACTGTTGCCAGTCTCTCACCAGTAAATTCAAATCAATATAAGGCAGCTATGGCGACAGCATTTGATTTTTGGATAAGAATTATGCCAACAATACTACGTCTATTGTCAATTTCTGAAGATGTACGTTTATATATGTCGATTTTATAACATTTAATCCTATAAAAATTACTTGTAAACTCAGTAATTGTATTCAGTTCATTAACAACCCTTTAAAAAACTATTTGTACAATTATCAGTGGAATCGATGACGAATGTTCTGAAGAAGAATAATCCGTAAATTCATTAAAATTAAAAAATACGGAACAATTAATCTTCAAAGTTTTTGAACTATACATAATCAAAGATTTTCTCTTTTATACTAATTACTGTCAAATATACTGAAATTTCGTTAATCCACCAACCTGTTCAAATATAAATGGTTAGTTCTCGCTTGTTAAATAGCTAATTCAAGCTGTTTTCAAGTCGCAATTTCACTAGTATGACATTGAAAATACAAACAGAAAAGTTTCACCACATAGTTATAAAAGTATTTAAAATCCTTTTTTGCTAAGCAACACGTGAAGGACACAAAGTTTAGTAGTACAGGTGGAGCTTGTACGATTCATACTATCAAGCTTTTTATTCGAATTAAGAATCTGTTCCTATTCGACAATTGAGTCCAATATCAATAAGACGACAATGAGCTGTTATAACGAAAGAATGTTCAACAAGTCAGTCGCAAGTCAGTTTGTCTGACTTTTCATCAGTTAATATATAAGCTTCGAAAAACGTTTAGCATACGGTTACTGTATAGTCAAGAAATTGGTTAGTTAAACCTGACGTTCCTCGCATAATAACCCTCTAATTGTTTTTTTCTTCCTTAAGACAAAAAATTAGAACTTAGGATAGATTCGTAATGAACCAAAAGATACCACTCAATATTTAAGCATGGCAAGAGGACATTGACAAGATGGGAAGTCAGTGAAGTACCCTTAATGATGGTTGAAAAAAGAGGTTAGACATAGAGTACAATTCGAAAAAAGGTGAACAAAACCAAGCAACAAAAAGGTATGAATTAATACTAAAATCCAAAGTTTAAGCGATTATAAAAAAATGAATACAATTGTAAAAGCGCAACCGATTTCGAGTCACATCACTTCAGGTCTATAGCCATTAGTCCGTAAACTGTGATGAATAAATGTTGTACTGATAAACAATTGTTATAAATACTGATTTAGAATATAAATGTAATCTGATTTAATATCTTAATTTATCTTCTGCATTTACAGTTTGTAATTGTGAGTGGTCGTCTGTTAACCGTTATTGAAGAGCTCATGGAATGTCAGTCATCATTAGCTTCAAAAGTATGTTCAATAACATACATTTCATATATATATATATATATATATATATATATATATATATATATATATATATATATGGACGATGTTATTGTATATATGTCAGTTTCTTGATGTTCAGACTAGTAGGGAATTAATATGTTCGGTAGACTATTTTGAAGCATTTCTCACAAAGTTTTTCTGTCACTTTGCCAATTGAATCTTTTAACTGGAAAAGCAGTTGAAAGTTGTAATGAAGCCGCATGACCCCGTTGAAAATTACTCTTTTATGTTAGTGCTTATTTCAATCACTCCTGATTTCTTCATTTTCTGCTTTTATCATTATGATTTCGGGATTAACGAGCATTTTCATTTACGATTTATGCTCATTACTTACTCTTTTTATTCTCTTATGAACTGCTGAGGAAAGACTTATTATGCATCATAGGAACTCAAAGGTTATAATTAGAGTTAGTGATAAACCTTTAGACTTTGTTGAAGATAAATTCATAGAAATATATGAACAAGTTGTCAGTGTTATTTTACCTTGTGTGTTATCCACTTTAATCATAACTTTTCCCTGTACCTATTCTTTGGTAGGACTTGGCGTACATTGTTATGAACACAAATAGAGAAATTTAGAAGCCTTGAAATACATTGTACAGCCAAGATATTGTGCAACAAAAATGTTTTAAGACAGAACGTCCCGTGAAACGTTTGATGTTGAAGAGAGATAGCTGTTTATTATTATAATTACAACTAAAAATCTAGGCTTTTCGTAACATTTGAAGCTGCGTGATGAACACCTGTTGTATCCAAACATATCTTAAACAAAATGACATTAAAATAGAAAGAATATATTTGTAAAATCTCAGAGAATGGATTTAAAGTAAATCCAACTTTTCGCCTGGCAATCTGGTCCAAACTTTTTCAAGGAAATGATTTTTCTCGTTTATTCAGCATAGTGATGGAATAAATCCTCAAAAGAATAACAATAGTATATTTTATCATGAGGGCAGACATTAGAAAGTAGAAAATAAGTAAATATATATTGAAATACACCTAAAGAATACAAACGAAGAAAGAATAAACAATTAAGTGCTGTGTCATGATGGAGAGTGAAGGAATGTACACTTGTTCTGTCAATGTTATAACATACCACTTAAAGTCACTTATGTTACCTGTTGATGATTTTATAACTTGACTTGATTAGCTTTAGGAAATCTTAGCGTAATCATACTTCAGTCAGCATTGCATGCCATAATAACAGATTATTAGACGTATGCTTTCATTTTAGATATTTGAATCGTGTAAATCAACCTTGAAAAGTCGACTGGTATTGGTTGTTGATTAATCAACTACTCTTTACCTTACACAGAAATTAATAAAGTATACAAAATTTACCACTGGTTTCCACTATATGAGATGAAGAAAAATAACTGCAGTTCAAAACGTTTCAAATTCAGAGGAAATTTTATGTGTAGAACTTACTTATTCAGTGACCTTGGGATATGGACTAAATTATATTTATGTTAGTTGATAATCTGATTATGATTATATTTTATACCTTACCTCTTCTATTCAAAAAGATATATTTGGAAGTACAAAGATTTAAAAACCCAGTATATATCTTGACTCAGTAGCTTAGTGGGAAATGTGTTAGCATTTGAAGAGATGAATATGAGTTCAAGTTTCACTGTAAGCATTAATATTGACATCGGGTATATTCAGTCGACGCATCATAAATAGGATGAAACAAGTATCCTTATAATCCCTATAATTGACTCGTACTTAATAACCATTCTTCTTCTATAGCTGTTCACATTATGGATGCCACTTTTACATGGACGACAGAAACAGGTAACTGATACCATTATTATTCTTTTTTTTAATGATGCTGTCTTTTCAGTTGTGATCTAGAAATCCTACTCAGTATTACCTTTCACTACATACTTATTTTAACAGTTACATTCAGCTACATAATAAAGTACATAATCTATAATTTCATAGCGTTTAAATATTTTAGCGTTTCAAATATAAAAAACCGAAAGGAAAACATTTTTATAATCACAAAGATATTACTGAGGAATTTAACAGTAGATTTTCCAGTTCTTGAAACTAAAAGATATAAAAAATGATGGCTGTTATAGTTAAATTTTTAAAATATACTTTTAGGTATGTTTTTTTTAAAAATAAAAGTAACTTTACTGAGAGAGTGTTAATATAAATTCTTGTTAACATTTGAAAGTGATAAGACTTCTAATTGAACGCTAGATTCGATTCCTAAGCTCTTTTATTAACCTCAGACCAAATCTACACAGCGACTTGAACACGAGAGAAAAGGAGAGAAGTATGGAAGAAACGCTATATTCAAATGTTCGTTTATATACAAAAAATCCAGTGTTTTTTATAGTATTTTAGATGGCCTTGTGTTTCCGGAAAATCCTGGAGCGCTGGTAAACATAGTAGCAACATAGGTAATCATCCAATCAGAAACTCGACAAGTGACTTCTCACTTTCTAGATGTTTCTGGCAAAATTTCTAATGGATGCTGACTGGATAGGATGCTTCTTAGCGTTTTCAGAGCCTTTGTTGGTATTTTTAGGGGAGTTTTGCTGGATCTCCTCAACAGAAAGAAAAAATTGTTTTATACATTAAAAATTGTATGTCGAGTAAACAGATTATCTATAATGTGCCTACATAAAATCTTTCTGTCTAATTTCATTACCACATCATAAACTTTCAAAAGTAAACTACAAATACAACGTCATCAATTATAAAGTGATTGGTAAAACATAAATGTTATTATTTGAAATATATCAAGGAATATACAGTTTGTAGATAGTGGAAAGGTGTACAATGACAGCCTTAATAATAACACTACTTCTAATCGACTGTATGTATAATACAATAGATTTTCGAAGTCAACTTTAAATGAACACAATTTTAATAATATGTGTACACCGATTGGTTGGCGGTAAAAACACTTGATTTCGAAATTTTCAATCTCATATTCGAATGTTACGTCTACTTACTTCAGTTTTGACAACTAGATAGTATCACTAGTCCTCAAAAAGAGATATTTTAGCAAAAAGTTTAATATATATATATAAATCCTTTACTACCACTCATACTACTAGTTAGGTACTCATCTTGATAATTTCATATAGCTGTGCTAATATATTCAGGTCTTAAGTTGTTTATGGCTGACTGATATATTTATCTTTTCCATGAAAAAATTGATTAGTCTATAAAAAAATATATATTAGGACTACCATAAATATACATTTTGTGCTTTGGTGTTCTGTTAAAAATAAGAATTAATAAATTAACCATAGCTATATGATATGATATTCGATATCCTATTCAAGTCCTATTTTATGTCACAATGAAAAAAATAGGAATTTAGTTTTTCTGTTTTGACTGAAGTTGTAATTGAGTTGGCATCGAAAGATAGTTTTAATTCACTTTGTTCTGCAAAAACATTTACTAATATTGAATTTATCAAGTGACCAGTAGAGATCCCTGTTACAAAGTCATATCAACTAGAAAACCAGTCAAAATAATGTAGGACTAGATGCCTGTTTTGTATTAGTCTTAAGGACATTAGTAACATACACTCACGACTTCACTTGGATCAACCCTAGGACTTTCAGGTGAAAATAAATCACAAAAATGAGTACGAATGAGTGTATTTGCTGGTGATGAGTTCTCTAATCTAGTTGGTTCACTTTAAAAGCTTTTATCACTTCAGGCATAACGTTGTCCATCACATGGATACGTCTGAATTACAATGTTTGCTTTATAATTTCAAAACAGTCTATAAAATGTCATGCTATATTACAAATCATTATCATTTGAATTTATTTTGTTATATTTTTAGCTACCAGGTAATATGCTTAAACGCTTACAAAAATGTGTCGAATGGGAACCACCTGAACCATATAATCGATTGTTACTCTTGTTATCTTTACCTGATCCACTAACTAATAGCCGTTTGTCATCAGGTCCAACAACAGGTAATTCTGAAAATTTATCATTTACAGCAATCACCGGAACTGCCAATACAATCCCATCATCACATTATGAAAAACCTTTAATTCACTCGACTAGTTCATCATTGCCAGGATGGACTGAAAGCTCTTTATTAGCTTGTCAGGCCAATTCATTAATGGGATGTAATTTAATTCCAAAATCTCTTAAAGAATGTTTAACCGAAGGCGTTAATTTAACCGGCGGTGCACAGTGCATTGGACATGCACTAGCACCGAGTGCACCATATGCTAATGACGGAACGGTTGATGGAGTTGGTTTGGAAGCTGGTGCAATGGGTGCTGATTTATTGACTAGTCGTCTAGTTGCATGGTTGAAAAAGCATATATTTGTACTAGGACGTAATGAAGATCAACATTCTACAGCTACACATATTTTTGTCCATTAAAGAGAAATTCTAGAGACTGCTTATTGAACTATTTTATCATGTAAATTGTTATGTCTTTTATGTGAAATGATTCATTGACCTCATTTATTGATGTGTATATCTCTATTGCCTGTAATATTAAAATCAGTCAATACTCATAGACAATAGTCGCATTTATCGTTGATTTTTCCCTTCCATAAGCCAACCAAAGAGGGTGCAGGTAAACAGTAGATCAGAGGTGACTTTTTTATCTCAATAAAAACATAAATTTCGATGTTCAAACTGAAAATATATGCTTCCCATCATCCTCTGAATGACAGCTGTTAACAATCGACCAATGGGTTTGAAATGTGTCGATTGCTGTAACGAAATTACCAAGGTAACCGATATTCCAAAGCAAACACTCCTACCTCTTTTACTCCAACTATTTGCGTTAGTTGATATCACGATGAAGGCATTTTTGATGCAAACAACCGATTCCCGTAATAGCAATGTAACAGGGTTAACCGTTGCGTGAAGGTAGGAAAATCGCCAGCGTCGCAAGGAGGATATCCTTCAACAACTTTCAAATCATTTATACTAAATCTCTGGGGCACCTGTCGCAGATTATAATGGCTCCTGTGTTTATCGTTCCTCATAGTAAAATAGATCGAAATATTACGGGCAGATCACACATTAACCAGTGTCCCTCGAAAAACGAGCTACCCTCAAGTGTGCTGTTCTTTAGCAAAAGATCGGTTTGCGAGCGTTCAGTAAAACACTCGAGACCAAGGAGGAACACAGTCTGATAAATTATCTATCAAAACGTACACGTTCACCCAGAAGCAACCACTCATTCAAACATCATATAAATTTGGACTGACCAAAACATACTAATGGTCTCTTCATTCGTTAATGTTACAGTTAGTTGGTGACACAATGATTCTTATATATCATCCACATACTGTGTACACAGAAAATAAAGCTCACAGACAAGGAAACATGCGTACACTCAACATGCATAAGGTATTCTCATGTAGCACGACGTAGACAAATGTTGACTTGAACATAATTACTTTAGTATTCATTTTCCATCGCCCCGTGTATTAGAGCCTACTACTAAACGTATGTATTACAATACACCAACAATCACCCGCTTATTCTTTTTAACATTCTGACGACTTATTTACGTCGATTGCAACAATTATAGTGGATTAGTGATACGGATTTTCGGAAATTATAGTATATTTATAGTTCAAATCAAAAACAGATCTCAGTCAAACCACTACTGAGAGCCCGAGAGCACTGGGTGACTGTTTCTTCTTAGCATGTGACACGTCAGCTATACGCATCCACGACCCCCCACGCGGAAACAGAACATAGGACCTTTGGTTTCAAAAGCGAACCCTTAATCTCTAGACCATTGAATTGGTACATAGCGGTGTTCATGACAAAATTCAATCAATCCATGATCATGTCCAACTCCTCACTTATTGACTGCTGCAGTTGCTGACTCAATAGTCTAAAGATTAGGCGTTCGCGCGCGAGACAGTTCCTAGGCTCAACTCTCGCGTGCGCACTGCTGGGGAGCTCCATACTAGGACGAGGAGACCGTATAGTGCTTCCAGATTTTTAACGGAGGTCTAGCTAGCACCAGTTCGCGATTGCAACGGTGAAAACCATGGTATGCGTTTTTGATGCCGTTAACCAGATTCGTTAGAAAAAAAGTTCCACGATACCTGATTTCCATGCCATGCACACCTGCCTCATAATTGCACGAAGAATTCACTTTCGATTTCCTACATACCTTAATGTCTCTTACAAATATTAGGTCATCGTTGTAGTCCATTGGAACCAACCTACGGTAGGATCTCTTTTTGGAACGATATTTAGTAACAATAAGCAGAGTTGGATCCAACTCTTTCCATAATTTTTGTAAACTAAAGACAGTATCGAGGCAGTACACAGAAGATGCATGCATTCTAAAAGAGACTAGTCTACTCCAGTCCCAAATATCAGCAGGAAGACTCAAAACAACAAGTTCAAATAAATTCAACCTCACCTAATTGTACGCGCTAGTTGTGTGTCTAGACTCAGTAGCTAAATGGATAACGCGGTGGAGTTTGGAGCGAATAGTACTGAGTTTGAGTCCTGAAAGAGGGGAAAATTTTGGGATGCAGGTGCATTCGGCTTACAGGTCTTAAATAGGATGAAACGCATGTCTTGGATTCCACTGCTAGCCACCATTTAAATCTACTCACATCTAAGTTCTGCTTGTACATGCTACGACTAATCATTATTCCATAAATGTAACATTTGAGCCATCAATAAACCATTCGCTAACAGATCCTATTTCCAGCAAAACTCATTCACCAAAAACAGGTTTACATTCTGGGCTTTGAGCCAAACTTTAGGTATGAGATATATTGATACTAACCAGAGTCCCAAGCAAAGTAGACAAAGCTGGGACAGAATCCGTGATCTGGTTGAAAGCTAATCACGAAAACTTCTTGTTCGATAAAATAGGGACAAAGTGTGCACAAAAACGAAAGGTTTGCATTCCATACAACAAATACTATTAATAAAGAATCTGATGAATATATACAAACTGTGAATAAAATCATGGTTCCAGATAATCAAAAAATATGAAAGAAAAAGGAAATCTCGTGAATGGTTACAAAAGGACAACACCAGACAAATTTATGAAGGTTTGGAATCTCTGATACGAGAAGAACGGAACAATGAACATCGTTTTCTTTCATTTATTATGATGGGTGGAGAAATATCTGACTCATCCAAGGCATATTGTTGTCGTTCATTTATATCACCAAATGGTTTTGTTGGAAGTATTTCGCTCTGGTGATTTGTACTCGACATTTCGGAAGTAAGATTGACAGCTTTTGCTAAGACATTTGGTTGTCGTTCCATAATATCACCAAGTGGTTCTACAGGGAACACTTTCTTTTTACCATGTGTGTTACAAATCTTGAGGGCGAAATTGACAGCTTCTGCAATAGTAAGAGTGGAAATATCGACTACTTTTTCCCTTGGAATAGGTGAGGGTGTGTCTGAATGTTGAAAGTGTATGGTCGACAAGTTCTTATCATCCAAATCAGATTCTGAATTAGAAATATTTTCACAATCAGTATGGTGTTCTCCAAGCACTTGCTCAACTAAATCAAACGACACTCGACGAGTAGAAAGTACTGGGGAACGTGTTGAAGCATTGGAAAGGCGCTCCTGTTTTCGACTATTTACATGTTTTTTCCTCCATTCAATTTCAGCATCAGAATCATACTCTTCTCTAATTTCAATCTCCTTATCATCCTCAATACCTCCTACAATTCGATCACGAGTACAAGTGGAGGAATCTTTCGGTATAGAAATTAACTTTTGTGCGACCAATTGTTTTGTGTAACTGATTCTGTCATTTAACAATGTTTTTTGTTGACGTAATCCATCTAATTTTATATCTAACCGTTTAATACGACGATTGAGTAACTGAACTGTATCGTAGACAGATAATTCAGCAAAATAATCATTAGTTCCGCCGAGATAAACTAATAGTTCATTTGTATGAATTAAACGCCCACGGACAAGCGCTTTACGACTAAATGGAATATACGCATCTTTATACACCGACTTTTGCAACTCCTGAATTTTATTACTAACAGACTCATAATCTGATCTATATTTTTCCAAGCTGATAATCTCCTGTTCAGTAGTTTCAATATCAGAAGTTTGTCGAGAAAGTAACCGACTGAAATTTTCTTCATTTATTGCCATTGATAGTTTGTGCTGAAAAATGATATTTACATCAATTGGGATTGCGTGACCATCCTTTGCAGTTTAGTGAACGTGGGCTGAAATCGAAGATAACAGGTTTTTACTAAAGCAATAATGAAACAGTAGATTTAGTTCGTTGGAATAAAAGCACAGGTCCCATATATAATATGATGAACATAAACCCTCCCGAAATTCCAAGGATTACACCTCACTTTTTAGAGCTATTTAAAATGCCGTCTTTTTGATCATATAGTGGATTTGGTTTTAGTCGTTGCAAGAGTTATTACTTCTCACCCTTATTAGTAAACCTCAGGATCCTCAGACTTCTGAATAGCTTTGCGTTAATGTGACCGAATAACCAAGTTAAAATTTGTTTCAAGCTTTGAAACACATTTATTTGAGGGTAAGAAACGGCATCCTGTCTTCTTAATTGGACTGGGTTAACTAATACATGATAAAAAGACCAAAAGATTAGCTTAAAGACTGTTTAGAGGCAGCTCTATCCTAACACCCAAGGAATCAAATCGAAATGAATGCAAAGTTTTAATGATTTATCTAACTCCATCAACCTGTTGGAAAATGATGTGAACCGTAAGGGGATCAAATTAGGGTATTTTACGTGGTCAAGATCCATTTACTATAAGTCACAATTCTCCAACTTTCTACTGATTGATTTTAGGTATCTGTGTGATTGCTCGAGAACCTTAAGATATCAGGACATTATCCCTTTCGAATCCATGGATATATAACAGTAAAAGCTGTCCTGCTCGACATGGGTCAGTATGATTTGTTCGCTTCCTAGCTGTGTTAAACCTCATCTGAGTTAGATTACATTTCGCCACATATTGTTGTAGACAAACAATCATATGCCCACACCGTGGAAGGGTTCTTCTAAAGATACCTGAAAAGGAAATCGGGCTAGGGGTGGTCTTGGCGACCTAAGGGCGTAACCACTGTGACCAAGCGAGAACTGATTGAAGTCAGTCACATACTTTTTCGTCAGTAATTATCGTGTTAGCTCCGTACTTGTTGGGACCTTACCGTCGGAGACGGATATCCGTGGGATAAGGCGATATGTTCACTTTTAGAGTCGGCTTTTTCTCACCCCGCCCCTCCTTGTGGGAAGGCAGCATCAACGTTATGCTGGTTGTCTGGAGGAAACACCTTACTGACATCACCTCTGTACAGTCAGCAGTACGACTTCGCCTTTCGGACCTTGGGTTTTCAGCTTTTAGTCTTACTGCTCTTCAACCGACCTGCCTGGCATGATAGGACCTTGAGGAACGATTGTTCCAGACAGTATAGCTCGATTGGTTCATTACGATAGACAAGTCCAACCACCACGTCAAGGTCAGTCAGTCAGTTACAACGTAGAACTTCGTATGTACGTACATCAGTTCGAGTTGCCACACCACATTAGCACAGAGATGCATTTCTCGATTCAAATCCCATAGTGGTAGAAGTACTAAGAGTATAAGCAGTAAACCGAAAGATTAGGGGTTGAAGATGTTATTGAAGGAGTATAATACAGTGAAATAAATTTGGAAAGAGAAAAAGGATAGGGACATGAGTCAGTCAGTCAGTGACAACGTAGGACCTGGCACATATATGCATCGGTCCAAGTTGCCATACCTCGTTAGCACAACAAGATGAACACCGGATTCATAGAAGTAATTAATTTAGTGGTGGTAGTATATAAAGAAAGGTTATATATAAGGATATAGTATAGGAAGAAAAAAAATTATGAAGCAATTTTAATCTCAAGTATACACCTACGCCATTGTGATCGATTCTGAGCCATGTCACCTAGAGTCTCCAACCATTGGTTACGATAGTCACGTGGACCCCAACCAGGTAGTCTGCATCTACCAACATGGCTCAGACTAGAAGTTAGTGACTTCAAGCACTGATGCCCCTAACTTTCTTCCAACCATCCCCAATACTGGTCATCATAGAGCGTCGTGGTAATCGGTGTTCAGGAATACGTAACACGTGGCCCAACCATCTCAGTCGATGAAGATTCATCATCTCATCAACCGATTTACCATCATTCCCTAATACCCTGTGTCTAACCTCACTATTACTTACCCGGTTATCCCAGCAGATGCGAGCAATATTTTTAAGGCATCTGTGGTCAAATACTAGTAACCTACGAGTATCTTCTACTCTTAATGGCCATGTTTCACAGTCGTAAAGTAAAACAGAATGGACTGCTGCGCAGTATACTCATCCCTTAATTGATAGACGGATATCTCGTCTTCGCCATAGGTGACGTAAGTTGGCAAAAGACAAACGAGCTTTTTGAATCCGTGCTGAGATTTCGTCAGACACCAACCCATTAGGGCTGATCAGACTTCCAAGATAAGTGAAGTTGTCGACGCGTTCGACTACTTCACTCCCTATCCTTAGTTCAGGTGTTGACGCATGCCAGTCCTGGAGTAACAATTTACATTTGGATGGGGAGAAACGCATCCCAAACATCCTGGCATTATTACTGAGTTCCAACAGAAGACTCTGCATTTTGTCAGTGTCTTCACCAAACAGGACTATGTCATCTGCGTATTCTAAGTGGATAAGTGAACCTCCTGGTAGAAGATCAATTCCTGAAAGTCCAGTCGACGAGAGTGTTATTTCCAGCAACAGGTCTATAATGAAGTTAAAGAAAAATGGGAATAGTGGATAGCCTTGACGGACACCACTTGAGGTTGTAAAATAATATGACAGTTCGCCATAAGCTCTCACTCGACTGGTAGTGTTCGAGTAAAGAGCCTTCACAAGATTTATGTACTTCTCAGGTACACCTTTTAATGACAGACACTGTCACAGAACCTCTCGGTCTACAGAGTCAAATGCTGCTTTTTAGTCAAGAAAAACTATCATTGTCAGACGCCGATAAGCATGTCTGTGCTCTAAAACTTGACGAATAGGGACATGAAGAATTCAGAAGATTAGAATTTGGCAGGACACAAAGGGTGGACGCACCTTCGCCATTGCAAACGATTTTGAGCCATCTCATTCAAGGTCTCTAACCATCGATTGCTATTATCTCGCGAGTCGCAACCAGGTAGTCTACACCTACCAACATGGCCCAGTCCACTTGTCAGTGACTTCATTGATTTGTGCCACGTTTTGGTCTGGCCGCCCCTAGCTTTCTTCCAACCTACTCTTACATCATAAAACATTGCACGTCGGGGCAGTCGGTGGTTGAGCATACGTAACACATGTCCCAGCCATCTCAGCTGATGAAGTTTCACTACTTCATCAATCGATTTACCATCCTTACCTAGTACCTGTTTCCTAACAACTACATTACTCACCCGGTGGTCCCAGGATATACGAGCAATTTCGTCACATACCAGACCACAAGGGCTGATGAGACTCCCAAGATAAGTGAAGCTGTCAACACACTCAACTACTTCACTCCCTATCATTAGTTCAGGTGTCGATGCAACCCAATCCTGAAGTAACATTTTGCACTTCGAGGGAGAGAATCGCATTCCGAACATGCCTGCATAGTTGCTTATAGTGGTCAGAAGACTGCATTTTGTCAGTGTCTTCACAGTTCGCCATAAGCTCTCACTCGACTGGTAGTGTTCGAGTAAAGAGCCTTCACAAGATTTATGTACTTCTCAGGTACACCTTTTAATGACAGACACTGCCACAGAACCTCTCGGTCTACAGAGTCAAATGCTGCTTTTTAGTCAAGAAAAACTATCATTGTCAGACGCCGATAAGCATGTCTGTGCTCTAAAACTTGACGAATAGGGACATGAAGAATTCAGAAGATTAGAATTTGGCAGGACACAAAGGGTGGACGCACCTTCGCCATTGCAAACGATTTTGAGCCATCTCATTCAAGGTCTCTAACCATCGATTGCTATTATCTCGCGAGTCGCAACCAGGTAGTCTACACCTACCAACATTGCTCAGTCCACTTGTCAGTGACTTCATGGATTTGTGCCACGTTTTGGTCTGGCCGCCCCTAGCTTTCTTCCAACCTACTCTTACACCATAAAACATTGCACGTCGGGGCAGTTACATTTTTAAAGAGCAAAGATGATAGAATAAAAATACGGAAGGTGCACAGCTTTGACAAATAGTACTAGTTGTAACCTATTCAGGTCATCGTTAAGAGTACGCTTTGAACAAATCGAGTTCCAACACAGGTTTTGAATAATAGTTCTACGAAACTGAAAAGGCGACCTTTTGATTAACGACTAAGTATGCAGTCTTCCGTCCGCAAACTTATTTATATTGTATAATTGGAAAAAGAATCAATATGTAGGCACCATATTTATTTATAACCAGAACTTAAGATTATCTGGTTTCTCCAAGTCCAACGTTTCTGAGCTACTGCTAGGTGTTGGGTGACTACTACGGACAGAAACCTAAGGAAACTTCTGATCAGGTTGATTTGTTTGCGGTCACAAACAAAGCATTTTTCTACTACGAAGAAATGACCATGAAATGAGATTAGTCGGAAAGGAGACACAATATTGTAAATCTAACTAGTACCTTGACATACTGAGATGGTATGAATACACTGTTCACCCAGTAGAGTACTAGTTATCACAATTCATTTACAAATAATGTGGCTAGTTAATGGTACGTTTAGCGAAGTCAAAACAGGAACGGATAGCTTGGTACTCAGACAATGGTACGATTCCTTAAAACCTTTAACTTTACGTTATAGCAATAAGCCTCCAAAATTATCCCGATAAATTAGTGTTTTCAAGCGTCATCGCTATAATGCTACAGTAATTGCTCAGAAAACCCAACGACTCAAAACACTGCATCATTTTATGCACCCTTTTTATGTCAAGCAAAACAGAACTTTTGATATGTCTATCAACGGTTTTGAGGGTTAACTGAGTTTGAACGAAAGAGATAACAAGAACAACCCATAGTAAAAACATATGATAGACATGTCAAATCCACATAACTGGATACTTACTTTGGAACACAGTGTCTGACTAAGCATGAATGACAAACGAATTAGCTCAATCTCATTAATCCAACCGGTACTTGGTTGAGTCCGCTCTCCCTCTCCAAATGCTCTCACATGGCCACGCGAATATATAGCCTCTGCCAGGGAAGTCCTACTCACTTCCTTCTCGTGGCGGGGGTATTGTTTACGAAAGTGAGAGGACGAAAAGCGAATGTCCGGCGCTTTAACCGGGTTGGTGGATAAGGCGAGTCCACCTAGGGGAGTTGGAATACCCTGATTCCAAACCAATGGTGCACATGGGCTCCAGTATCCTGATGGAACGAATGGCGTATGAACCAACTGTTGGTCACCGGCTACCATGGGACTACATCTCCTTACGATGTTCCACTGCCTTGTGGACTAGACCTTTAGATCAAAGGCTTCGGGTGTGGCCCCCTAAGAAAACCACCTGCTTCAGTCTGGGCACCTGGGCAGTATCTCAGCCCTCACAAGCATATTTATCTGGTGCTTTTTGTACCAATATTTATGTGACCATCTCAGTCCAACTAATATCAGGTGTATCAAAGCCTACTATTATTATTTATTTATTTAAACACATATATATTGGTACAAAATGGCACCAGGTACATATGCGCCACACAAATAATGAGAATGGAAGGAGAAGGAATATGAGTATATATAAAAGAAGGAAAAAAAAAAAAGGAGAAGAGTAATGATGGGGGAACTGAAATGTACCGGTGCCCTTTGCACCAATATATATGTGATTTATTTATTTATTTAATGTACAACCAGAAGACTCTTTCAGTTAAGAAAGTTAGAACCATTCTTTATGTAGAAAGTAAAAGAAGGTTGCAGCAGGATCGCCATTGGCTTCTATTCTGAGCCATATCTGATAACGTCTCTAGCCACTGTGTTGCACCATCTCTCGAACCCCAACCAGGGAGTCGTGAAGGACCAACAGAAGCTAGCCCTTTGCAGCTTTCTTTCATGCCACGACACCATGTCATACACTGACCTCCTCTCCGCTTTTTCCAAACAGTCCCAGAGTCGGCAAATAATGCACGACGTGGAAGTCTCTGGGACGACATTCGTAGAACATATCCAAGCCACCGAAGTCGGTGTTTCAAGATGGTGACACCAATTGAATTATCGTCTCTGCGCCCGAACACACGATGCCGAACCTCTGCATTACTAACATGGTGTTGCCACTGGATGTCAAAAATCCTTCGGAGACAACGATGATCGAACACAGAGAGTCGTCTAATATCCTCAACTCGGAGAGGCCAGGTTTCACAAGCATAGAGCAAAACTGCTCTCACCGACGCGTTGTAGATCCGAACTTTTACAGCCAGACTAACATCACGAAGGCGCCAAAGATGGCCCAGATTGGCATAAGCCGATCTGGCTTTCATTATACGTGCATCAATCTCATCACTCACGCCACCACCAGCACTTATATAGCTACCTAGATACACGAACTTCTCAACTACTTCAATCTGCTCACCATCCAGGGTGAGTACAGGATTAGAATCCTGCCAGTCTTGTAGGAGTACTTTGCACTTGGAGGGTGCAAAATACATGCCGTACCTGCGGACACTGATTGCCAACTGATTAAGTGCGGATTGCATGGCTTGAGCATTATCGCACAGTAAGACAATATCATCCGCATACTCAAGGTCGAGAAGTCGTTCTCCAGGCAACATATCCACACCGCCATTACTTACATCCATCAGAGCTGTGTCCAGGATGTCGTCGATAGCAAAGTTGAAGAGGAATGGTGAGATCGGGCAACCCTGCTTGACCCCCACTGCTTGAATGGAACAAGGGAGAAAGGTGGTTGTATGCCCTCACTCTGTCTGAGGTGTTCGTATACAGGGCCTTTAAGATGTTAATGAAATTCTCAGGCACACCCCTCTTCAATAGACAATCCCAGAGAACAGTCCTGTCCAACGAATCGAAGGCCGCCCTGATATCAAGAAACACTACGATTGTTGGCCTGCGATAAGTATGACGGTGTTCTAACATTTGGCGGAGGGTGAAGATGTGATCAATGCATCCTCGACCAGAACGAAAACCAGCCTGCTCCTCGCGAGTCAATCGTTCTCGGGTTTTAAACAACCTACGAAGAATGACAGAAGCCAATAGTTTGGACGCAATCGAAAGTAGACTTATCCCCCGATAGTTGTTACAGGAACAACGTGAACCCTTTTTAAAGATAGGGACGACTATTGACTCATTCCATGATGTTGGAACACTTTCTTCCTCCCAAACCTTTCCAAACAACACAGTCAATTCCTTAGTCAGAAGGTCACCACCATCTTTAAAAAGAGCCGGAGGTAGGTCATCTGGGCCAGGTGATTTGTAACGTTTCAAGAGTTGGAGTTCCTTGCGGACTTCCGCCTCGTTTGGTGGATCAGTCGTCACCGACCATGGAGGGCAGGACAAGCTGGTTGATGTTGCCGGAGCAGCAGGCCAGTTGAACTGCCCTTCGAAGAATTCCGCCCATCGTCCAAGACGTCGACAGATGTTAGTGATTGGCATCCCATCATCCTCGTAGATTGTTTCACTCACACCAGACTTCTTGCTGCCAGTGGCTCGAATGAGTTGGAAGAGCTTCCGGCAGTTACCAGATGCAGCTGCTGCTTCCATCTCATTAGCACGCTCCGATCACCAGGCTTCCCGGTCCTTACGCAAGCTTTGCCTGATTTCATTACGTAACAGCCTTCGTTTGTGGTCAAACTCACGGTCACCCGGAGTAGACCGACGGGCTTCCATCAGTTGTAAGGAGCCAGAAGAAACCCAGTGCTTGTAAGCGGGACGTTTCGCGAAGCCCCAAGCGGCTTTACTCGCCATTTTCATGGCGTCGTGAAGATGCAACCAATGCTCATCTATACTTTTCGGTGGGGTGGTAGCTAGCCTAGAGGCTAGCTCCACTCGATACTTACTTGCAACAGAAGTTGCAGCCAGTTTACTAACATCAATCCGTTGGTGGTGGTCAATCCTTCGGCCACTGAAAACTAAGGTGAGATTGGCGCAGACCAGGGAATGATCAGACTCCAGATAGGTACTCCGAAAGGAGCGGCAGTCTTGTACACAACCACGCCAGCGGTAGCTGATCGCGATGTGATCAATCTGAGTCCAGGCTTGGGATGCAGAGGGAGGACGCCAGGTGGCACACCAGCGATGACTGTGCCGGAAGTTAGTGCTAGCCAGAAACAGGTTGTGGTCTGTGCACAGTTGCAGCAAACGGTCCCCGTTATCTGTCCTGCGACCAACAATTCCCCATCGGCCACCTAAACGACTTTCTTCTGTGCCTAGACGCCCGACCTGAGCATTCAAGTCTCCGGCTAGTACTACAATATCTGTCGAACGCGCTTTCTGGAGAAGAACTGTTAAGTGGTGTTAAAACTCATCCTTGATTGCATCCGGGCTGCAATCTGTCGGAGCATAGTCGGAGATGACGAAAAGACACCGTTACTCACGCCGGTTTCTTCTCACTTTGATGGAACTTTCTAATCTAACAGCACATAACCAACTGTTAATGGGGATCCAATAGATTTATTTATTATTTATTTAAACACATAAATATTGGTACAAGGAAGCACCAGATAAATATGTGCCTCACAAATCTCATTCGATCCCAATCGATTAGTGCTGCCTCAGCCCTAGCGCTTAGTGCGACACCAACGCCAGCAAGACCAGACGAAGATGCCACAGAGTCCCCGGATAAGCACACGTGAAACAAGATTTTCGAAGCGACAGATGGAGAGCGAATTTGTAGTACTTCACTAGAGTCTTGAATACGGGTCTCGGATAGACAACAAACATCAACATTAAGACCTTCCAAAGACATAGCCAGCCCTATCTGTTGTCTGATATGCATTAGTGTGCGAACGTTGAAGGAAGCCAGCTTGAACGGCGTACGTGGTTTCAGAAAGACTGGTTCAGTATTCGTAATCGGTGGAAGCATTCATTTTCAACCAGACAGTGACTGGAGATAGTTTAGATAGGACAGATTTTCCACCATGGGCGAGCTGCTGCATAAGTTGAAAAGTAAGGTTACACAAATTGGGGATAAAAGGGGGGGGAGTTAGCGATATGGTAAATAATAATAATAATAATAATAATAATAATAATAATAATAATAATAATAATAATAATAAAGATAATAATAATAATGTAAATTACCTTGCTTCTAGTATGAGCAGGAATAGTATGGTCAATAGAACTCACCATTTCATTTATTTGCGAGAGGGCTGTGATACTGTCCGGGAGCCCAGACTGAAGCAGGTGGTTTTCTTAGGGGGCCACACCCAAAGCCTTTGACCAAAGGGTCTGATCCACAAGGCAGTGGAGCATCGTAAGGAGATGTAGTCCCATGGTAGCCGGTGACCAACAGTTGGTTCATACGCCATTCGTTCCATCAGGATACTGGAGCCCATGTGCACCATTGGTTTGGAATCAGAGTTTTCCAACTCCCCTAGGTGGACTCGCCTTATCCACCAACCCGGTTAAAGCGCCGGACATTCGCTTTTCGTCCTCTCAATTTCGTAAACAATACCCCCGCCACGAGAAGGAAGTGAGTAGGACTTCCCTGGCAGAGGCTATATATTCGCGTGGCCATATGAGAGCATTTCGAGGAGAGCAGACTCTTCCCACTCTCAGCCGTACCAGGGCATTTGGGGGCTATCAATAAAAAGAGAGTGGCCTTAATTAGTCTATCAGTGCTTCTAGTTCATAGAATTTGTGGTGAGACTATATGTGGATGACCTTTGGTGGACGCTATAGAGACCTTGAGAATGTCAATCTACATACTACCACTAAATGAGGATTAAAAACAAGTGTGAGTAATTAGGATTAATTATTTGCATTTGATAGTTAGGTTCAGGAATTAGACTTAGGGTTTTCATTACGAACTGACACTAACTATAATGTCAATTTTTTTAGCCAAGTGAGTGAATTAGTTCCGCACCAAAGTTCAAAAACTGTTATCGTGAACCTGGTTGGTTCGTCCATATATTATAGTCTTGTCGAGTCTGTTTCTTAGACTACGAGCATTTGCAAAGAAAACTCCTAGGGAGAACGACCTATCCATACAGGCCTTGGTAGCATCCGCTTTGATGACCCGACTTTATCTATCTGTAAACCACATTCTATTATAATGCTACCTATTAATATTACAGACGCGGTGACACTGAACTGTTCGAATGCATATTGAACCAGTTATGTGCGACTAAAGTTTGATTTCACGATAAACCAATTACTGTTGACTCTAGAGCAAGCGTCGGTATTATTGCAATTCAAATACAAGGAAATCCATTCGGCCCTACTATATTTGATTGTTTATTACTGCTCCACATGCTAGTTGTCATTCAGGAACAGTATTATCCTACTGACTAGTCAATTCACTCGTTCTCGGCCATAAGCTTAAAAAATAACAAGCACAGCACAGTTTACAACTTCAGGTGTTTGCTAGTTTCCTGTCTAGTCTGAAGACAGTTTCATTCTGTAGGAGAGTGCTGATTAGCGTAAGGACAAGTGGAAAAGATTATAAAAAGAGGTGACATGAGCAGAAGACATACCAAGCATATAGGGTGTACTTACAATGTAAAATAAAAGTTATATATCACGAGATTGGGACAATCTGGAAATCGTACACAGCATTAAGATGGGATAGCGCATAGATTTGAAAGCGTTACTGACCTACAACACAGAAAACCCTCCTGGTTGGTTTGTGAAACCTTGAAAAGCACTACAGACGATGAGGAGGTATTCTGAGGTTATGAAACGACCTGTGATTACCAGGTCAAGAAACCGTAGTCGACTTCCAACTTTATCAACGACAATCAATAATTGCTGCGAACCTTTAAGTGTATGTTTTAATCTATCCGTAACCCAGGGCCATCTACCAAAAGACTGGAAGAACACCATAGTAAGTCCAGTCTTCAAAACAGGTACAAAACATAAGCCTGAGAATTACCGACCAATTAGCCTAACTAGTGTGGTTGTTAAAATATTAGGAAGGAACTGTTCAAATGGTTCAAATGGTTGAGGACGGAATAGAAGAAGCTTTCGCTTAACGGGCTTCCGTGTCTGGTAGCAGTGGATCACCAATACCTCCAGGCAAGAACCTAGGTATATGAACGATAATAGAGGGAAAAAAGAGAATTTGGTAAATCATAATAATATGTTATCCTTAGTTCTTAAGAATAAGTCAAGTTTTCTCTTAAAGGACTCCTGGGAGGTCGCTTGGACTAGCTCAGTCGGCAGCGAATTCCAGCACTTGACAACTCTAACGGAGTAGAAGTTGTGTCTGCAGTCTGTTCTGCTATGTAGGGTCTCCAATTTCTGGGTGTTACCTCTGAGGTTAGTGTTATGACTAAGCTTAAGAAGTCGTTTAAGGGGATGATCAGAAGTATTAAGGATACTATAAGTCATAAGAAGATCACCTCTAAGACGCCTATACTCTAGCGGGTAAAGGTTAAGTGATTTGAGGCGCTCTTCATAAGGTTTGAATTTGAGACCCCGAACTGATTTCGTGGCTCGACGTTGTATACGTTCTAGAGTGTCCTTATCCTTTTGGAGGGAGGGAGTAAATACTATGTTCCCGTACTCTAAGTGGGGACGAATAAAACTGTTGAAGATTATATGGAAGGTTCTACCGTCAAACTGGCCAAAAATACGCTTCAATGTTACCAGTGCAAGGTTTGCTTGAGAGGCGTTTTTGTCACAGTTCGCATACGATTTCAGGTCGTAGGGACTGTTAAAGTATCTCGATGAAAACCGGATCCTCTCCGAAAAGCAGCATGGTTTTAGAACAGGTTACTCTTGTCTCACAAACTTATTAGTCGCTCGTGAAAGCTGGTGCGCTCTTAAGGACCAAAAGTTACCTATAGACGTAGCTTACATCGATTTCAGCAAAGCCTTCAACAAAGTTCCGCATAACTGGCTGTTATATAAGCTAAGGAATGTAGGGATTGGAGGCAATCTATTGATGTGGATAAAAGACTTCCTAGTTGGGCGTCAACAAAGAGTAAGGGTGAACTCCAAGTTGTCTAGCTGGGAAACTGTGCTTAGTGGAGTCCCCCAGGGTACAGTTTTGGGGCCAGTGTTATTCCTCCTGTACGTAAATGGTCTCCCTCGTCTACTGTCCTCATCGGTTTTACTCTATGCTGATGATGTCAAGATATGGAGAGCGATACAAAGCAAGGGCGATAGCTTAGAACTTCAAAATGACCTGGAGAGATTATCTGAATGGTCCCAAACCTGGCAATTGCCGATAAATACTTCCAAGTGTATTGTGATGCATATTGGCCACCAGGGCACAGATATATACACGATGAATAACACTGAGTTACCTATTGTTCAGGCACACAATGACTTAGGTTTTAGGACTTTATGGTTCATACGCAGGGCTTTCAGGCATCTCGACGCTAAAACGTTTCTGACTTTGTATACAGTGTTCGTACGCCCTAAACTTGAGTACTGCATGCAAGCAGCTAGCCCCTGCCTAAAAAAAGACAGTGAACTCTTGGAAAGGGTTCAGAGAACAGCAACTAGGCTGATTCCCGGAATAGCGAAGCTCCCGTATGGTACTAGACAGACCAAGCTAAACCTATTCCCGTTGTCATATAGAAGAATAAGAGGTGACTTGATTATAGTTTTCGAATTGCTTAATGACAAATTTGCACCTGATATGCCCTCATTTTTCTTGTCTTCCAAAACAGAAAATCTACGAGGACACTCCAAAAAAGTTCACAAGCCCAGAAGGAATTACTTGTCAACTGACTACCGACTTTCCCATCGAATAATCAACGAGTGGAATTCATTACCTCAGCACGTGGTTGAGGCTCCATCCATCGACTCCTTCAAAAGAAAGTTGGATCAGCTGAGAGACCATCGTTGCCAAGACTAACACAGGCCATCAAGCCTCCTGTCCTTTCCAAACTGAAACTGAAACTGAATGTGTTACACATAGGCGAACCAAAAATAGCTCCTTTGAAATAAACCAATAGAGTAGAGGCTGTGTACATACAGTCATTAGCGGTAATTATGAGAATCTTAACTTGAAGGCATTCGTCTTGCTATTTTATTTCGTAAGTTTTTTTCAAAAGTAATGGGATATTCTCAAGGAACAAATGTTCAAATGCACTATTTAAGATCTTGTATATGGTTCGATTGCGTGTAATATAATTTTAAGACTGAGTGGCGTTGCATTTTCCTTAGAATTTCCCCCAAATTTTTATTAGGACTTACTCAAAGTTTAAAAAATGAGACCAATATAAGGTTAATGTATAGAAAAGTGATACTTTGTATTATTTCGCAGTTATGTAATTACAAGACAATTATGCAACTATAATATTCAAATACGTAAGAGTCCTATCAGAGTCCAAAAGGTGTCCTCAGATTTTTCGGCGTTTGTAAAAAGGTTCGTGACATACATATGTTCTGAAATTTCTTTAAGATTTGAGGAAACCTTATGAGCTCTTGGGGACTGCAGATGAATAGTCTTTGTCTTAGCAAACTTTATAGACTTCCTGAAATAGTTCCTGTGCAATTAGATATTACTGAAACTTCAGTCTTCAGTAATAAGGATAGTAGGTTGATGAACCTGTGTTAATCCTGACAGATTTCCTTCCAGTGAAGGTCCAGCTTCTTTTTGAAAATGTTCACTGATGGTGCTGATACCACGTGTTCTGGTAAAGCGTTCCAGTCAGTGACCACTCAATGAGAAAAACGGGACTCCACCTCTAGTTTATTAGATCGCGGTTTCAGAACCTTCTTGCTATGACCCCGGAGATTATTAGTGCTGGAGGGAGCAAAAAAGATAAGACATTAACACCCAGATCATAATTAAAGATACGAAATGTCAGTATAAGGTCACCTTGCGTCCTACGATAAGATAAGGGGAAAAGGTTTAGACGTTTTAAACGCTCATCGTAAGGGAGTTTAGAAAGACCCTTTACTAATTTTGTCCCTACACGCTGGACACGCTCAAGCGATTTAGTATCCTTTATCAGACAAGGGCTAGCTGCTTGGATACAGTATTCTAAGTGTGGCCTTACATTGGTGGGATATAAAATTCGAAACATATCCTCATCGAAGCATTTAAATGCTCTGCGAAGCGACCATAGCGCGCCATAGCCTTTGGAAGCAACCGCATTGCAGTGCGTAGTAGTTTTCAAGTCGTGACTTATAATTACTCCTAAGTCTTTGTGCTCTTGAACGCGTGGCAGAGATGTACTATTAATGGTATAGTGGTAACTAATATCGTGCCCGATGTGCATGAACACGCTCTTCCTGGAATTAACTTCCAGGCCCCAATCATGAGCCCACCTAACTAATTCGTCTAAATCTGCTTGCAGATAACAACAATCAGTCTCATTTCTTATTGTTCTCCAAATTTTAACATCATCCGCAAACAACAACGTCGACGACTTAAGTAATAAAGGTAGTTCATTAATATACAGAAGGAAAAGTAAAGGGTCTAAGATGGTGCCTTGGGGTACACCACTTTTGACCGGTTTCCATTCGGATAGCGTTCCATTGACCCTTGCTCTCTGTCTGCGGTCACATAAGAAGCTTCCTATCCATTCCTGTATAGCACCTGTTATTCCAAAGCTCGAGAGCTTTTGCATAAAACCTAAGTGTGAAACCTTATCAAACGCTTTGCTGAAATCTATGAATATCACGTCGACAGACAGGCCGTTTTCTAAGGCAGTTGTCCAATCCTCTCTCGCAATGAGTAAGTTAGTCAAGCATGAATGCTTGTTACGAAACCCATGTTGCTCGGGAGTTAACAGATTGTACGAATCTATGTGACTCATTAGCTTAGCCCGAATTAATTTTTCAAGTAACTTAACTGCTATACTGGTCAGGCTAACAGGCCGGTAGTTAGATACGATCCGTCTCTGACCATCCTTAAATATAGGACTAACTATGGCGTCTTTCCAGTCTCTAGGTAGTTGAGCCTGTGAAAGGGACATGTTGAAGAGCATCGTGAGCGGTCTTGAGATAATGTCCGCAAGCGATGACAGCAAACGTGGGTGTAACCCATCGGGGCCCGGTATCTTACAAGGTTTGAGGTTAGTTATCAAAGGAAGAACAATATCCTCTGTCACGTGTAAAGGCCCTATGGCTGGTATCTCATTGTCAACGGGACAAGTAGTTGTAACACTACACGTAGAGTAGACTTCACTGAAATAGTTAGCAAATGTCTCCGCTTTCGCTAGATCAGATTCAGCCAATAAAGCCGAAGTTTCGCTTAACAGTAACGAGGGGACTACACTAATTACTAAAACATCTACAAACTACTCGTTAGTCTTATTAGTGCTTTCGTACTTACTTACTAGTAATATTCTGTACATCAATTAGGATGATTTTAAGTAGTGTCATAACATCCACAAATCAAATGACAGTTAACAAGCGAATTCCCCTAGCAATAGCACTCGGTTTTCAATGGTGCTTTATACATAACCGCATATCTATTCATCACCATTTACCACTTTAATGTTTTGTTTTTCATCTGTATTTAGAGTTTAATGAATCTTATGTTAAGAAATTCAAGAGCTGAAATCGACTGTTTACTTTTTACTGAGCGTCTTGCACCAGCTAATAATGAACGAAACACAATTCCTGAGTTCCGCTACTGAAACAGATTCTAACTTTAAATCTCCCCATTTAAGCACAAGTTGCTCTCATTTGCCAGTCAAATTCACTTTCTGTGAACCGGACCTAGAAGACTCAGATGATTCCCGTCACCTAGCTGAAGTATCTATATCGAATGATTTAGTTGGTACGAAACGTATTAATGATCGGTTCGACGATAATGACAGTAAACGCCCAGTTATGCCAAGTGTTCTTGGACCTAATGTTCTTAAAAACACTCTAAGTAATTCATTCGCATCCATACCAAATCACATAAGATCTGCAGAGTGTGAAGTAAGTAGAGTGTTTTTCTTCAATATTTAAAATTGTGATTATTTATGCTGTTCAATGTAGTTTATAGATTTACAAATCAAAAGGTGTTACTTCTGTACGCCATACAATAACGAAAGTTATTAGATTTTTTGTCATCGGGTTTCAGTTTTGGACCCTGCTTCACTCGTTTTGAATGGTAGTTCCATTGCGTTTTATAAAATTAGTATGGCTTAAAGACTTATACAAACCAATGAGCTGTATTAGTCCCATTTATCCAGTATAATTTACGTAAACGATAGGATTATTAGTGTTGGCAAGTGGCTGCTATAATTTGAAAACTCTAGACTGCAAATGACCGAATCTACTAAGATTATGCAGAAGAGTAAAAGTCATGTTTCGCAATCCAGTTTACTTCATGGGAGGATATCCTGACATTTATTTTGCTGTTGTGAGTGTGTCAGTCAGTCAGTCAGTCAGTCACAACGTAGAACTTCGTATGTACGTACATCAGTTCGAGTTGCCATACCACATTAGCACAGAGATGCAGTTGTCGATTCAAATCCCATAGTGGTAGAAGTAGTAGGAGTATAATCAGAAATCCAAAAGATTAGGGTTTGAAGAAATTATTGAAGGAGTATAGTACAGTGAAATAAATTTGGAAAGAGAAAAAGATAAAGACATGAGGAATTCAGAAGATTAGAATTTGGTAGAACACAAAGAGTGGATGCATCTTCGCCACTGCAAACGATTTTGAGCCATCTCATTCAAGGTCTCTAACCATCGATTGCTATTATCTCGCGAGTCGCAACCAGGTAGTCTACACCTACCAACATGGCCCAGTCCACTTGTCAGTGACTTCATTGATTTGTGCCACGTTTTGGTCTGGCCACCCCTAGCTTTCTTCCAACCTACTCCTACACCATGAAACATTGCATGTCGGGGCAGTCGGTGGTCGGGCATACGTAACACATGTCCCAGCCATCTCAGCTGATGAAGTTTCACTACTTCATCAATCGATTTGCCATCCCTACCTAGTACTTGTTTCCTAACAACTACATTACTCACCCGGTGGTCCCAGGATATACGAGCAATTTCGTCACATACCAGACCACAAGGGCTGATGAGACTCCCAAGATAAGTGAAGCTGTCAACACACTCAACTACTTCACTCCCTATCATTAGTTCAGGTGTCGATGCAACCCAATCCTGAAGTAACATTTTGCACTTCGAGGGAGAGAATCGCATTCCGAACATGCCTGCATAGTTGCTTATAGTGGTCAGAAGACTCTGCATTTTGTCAGTGTCTTCACCGAGTAAAACTATGTCGTCGGCGTATTCTAAGTCAACAAGTGAGCCTCCTGGTAAAGGTTCAACTCCTGGAGGTTTAGCTGATGAAAGTGCTATCTCTAAAAGTATGTCAATGACAAAGTTAAACAAGAATGGGGAGAGTGGCCAGCCCTGACGAACGCCACTTGTGGTAATCAGTTCTGATGACAGTTCGTCATAGGCTCTAACTCGACCAGTTGTGTTCGAGTAGAGAGCCTTTATGAGGTTAATGTGGGCAGCCGGGAAGTGATACTAGCCCTCATACCCTTAACTGCACACAAGACCAAGTTGGTCGCTTTCAAATCCTTCCTACACCTAATAACTCTGTTGTGAGTGTGTAGACAGTTTTCACAGTTTACCACCATAGTATCAACTTATTCTGTTTCTTTCCTTTGTAAACATTGTTGGCTTTCAGTATAAACTAGCAATGTATGCTGGAAAATAAACATGACCAGGAAGCAACTGCTTCACATTCTCTTCTTATTTTAGACATCATTCCATTTGTTACTAGTATTTCTATTAAGGATTTTATTTAACTTAGGACACTACTCATTGTTTAGTTTTCTAACGTTCGCTGTTACTAATTGAAATGATTTTTTCACAGGAAACTGTCTACATTCAAGTTTTGTGTGTTTTGCTGTTATTTACACTTTTAAGTTTCAATACATTCTTGTAGGTATGACCTAAAATGTAATTTAGTTCAGCCAATGTGTTCATCGTTTACATACCAAATATTGCTTAACTCTGACACAAATACACCAAGGTTATACCTACCATTGTTATGCTACATAGTATCAAACTTACTTACTTACTTACTTTCGCCTGTTACTCCCAATGGAGCATAGGCCGCCGACCAGCTTTCTCCAACCCACTCTGTCCTGGGCCTTCTTTTCTAGTTCTTTCCAGTTCTTGTTCATTCTTCTCATGTCTGTCTCTATTTCTCGGCGTAATGTGTTCTTTGGTCTTCCTCTTCTCCTTCGACCTTCAGGATTCCATGTGAGGGCTTGTCTTGTGACACAATTGGGTGATTTCCTCAAAGTGTGCCCAATCCACTTCCAGCGCTTCTTCCTGATTTCTTCCTCTGCTGGAATCTGGTTTGTTCTCTCCCACAGTAACTTGTTGCTGATAGTGTCTGGCCATCGGATCCGAAGTATCTTGCGTAGACAACTGTTAATAAACACTTGTATCTTCTGGATAATGGCTTTCGTAGTTCTCCACGTCTCTGCCCCATACAGAAGAACTGTCTTGACATTTGTATTGAAAATTCTAACCTTGGTGTTGGTTGACAATTGTTTTGAGCTCCAGATGTTTTTCAGCTGTAGGTATGCTGCTCTTGCTTTGCCGATCCGCGCCCTCACATCTGCATCTGATCCACCGTGTTCATCAATGATGCTGCCCAGATATGTAAAGATTTCCACATCCTCCAAAGCTTCTCCGTCAAGTGTAATTTGATTGGTGCATATTGTATTGTATCGGAGAGTCTTGCTTTTCCCTTTGTTTATATTGAGACCTACTGCTGCTGAGGCTGCTGCTACACTGGTCGTTTTCTCCTGCATTTGTTGTTGCGTTTGTGATAGAAGAGCCAGATCATCCGCGAAGTCTAAATCGTCAAGCTGCATCCTGCCTGTCCACTGTATCCCGTGCATTCCTCCAGATGTTGCCGTCTTCATAATCCAGTCGATCACCAGGAGAAAGAGAAAGGGTGAGAGTAGGCAACCTTGCCTAACACCGGTCTTTACCTCGAACGAGTCGGTGAGTTGTCCTCCGTGGACGATTTTGCAGTTTAGTCCATCATAGGAGTTCCGTATGATGTTGACTATCTTCTCAGGCACGCCGTAGTGTCGAAGAAGCTTCCACAGTGTCGTCCTGTCCACGCTATCAAATGCCTTCTCGTAGTCGATGAAGTTGATGTAGAGCGATGAATTCCATTCGATTGATTGTTCCACAATGATACGTAGAGTTGCGATTTGATCTGTGCACGATCTATCCTTACGAAATCCAGCTTGTTGATCTCGAAGTTGAGCGTCCACGGAATCCTTCATCCTGTTTAACAATACTCTGTTGAAGACTTTTCCTGGTATTGAGAGGAGAGTGATGCCCTGTAGTTGTCGCACTTGCTCAGATCGCCTTTCTTTGGTATCTTGATGAGAAGTCCTTCTTTCCAGTCTGTTGGTACATGTTCTTCGTCCCAAATCTTACCGAAGAGGATGTGGAGTATCTTGGCAGTTGCTGTTACATTTGCTTTCAGTGCCTCTGCCGGGATGTTGTCTGGTCCCGCTGCTTTGCCACTCTTGATTTGTCTAATGGCCATGCTGATCTCTTCAATTGTTGGTGGGCCAATATCGATTGGGAGGTCTGTGGGTGCTGCTTCGATGTTGGGTGGGTTCAGTGGAGCTGGTCGATTCAAGAGTTCCTTGAAGTGTTCTACCCACCTGTTTCGTTGTTCTTCAATATCGTTGATTACTTTGCCTTCCTTGTTTTTCACTGGTCTTTCTGGTTGACGGTAATTTCCAGCAAGTTTCTTTGTTGTATCATACAGTTGTCTCATGTTTCCCTCTCTTGCAGCCTTTTCCGCTGTCATCGCTAAATCTTCCACATATTTACGTTTGTCGGTTCTGATGCTCCTCTTCACTTGCTTGTTTGCCTCTGTGTATTCGGCTTGTGCCTTGGCTTTTTCTGCTCTTGTTCGGCTGATATTGATTGCTACCTTCTTGTTCCTCCTTGCTTCAATTTTATCCAGTGTACCAACAGTGATCCATTCCTTGTGATGGTGCTTCTTTTGGCCCAGAACCACCTGACATGTTGAAACGATTGCCTCCTTGATACCTTTCCAGCTGCAGGAGATATATAGAATTCATTCAGGGAATAATATTTCTGTTTGATAAGACGTATAACTTCTGTGGAAACAATTTCAACTACCTTTGACATTGTGAAATCTTCTCGACGTGCACAAAGTTCTGTTTATGATAATTTGAAGAAAAAGTGGAATTTTTCTGTAATAATGAGGCGTCAATTAAATAACTGACTAATAACTAAAATGATTAGATTCTTCTTGTTTTGTTCGATTTCAGTCAGTCAATCTCAACGTAGAACTTCGTATGTACGTACATCAGTTCGAGTTGCCACACCACATTAGCACAGAGATGCATTTCTCGATTCAAATCCCATAGTGGTAGAAGTACTAAGAGTATAAGCAGTAAACCGAAAGATTAGGGGTTGAAGATGTTATTGAAGGAGTATAATACAGTGAAATAAATTTGGAAAGAGAAAAAGGATAGGGACATGAGTCAGTCAGTCAGTGACAACGTAGGACCTGGCACATATATGCATCGGTCCAAGTTGCCATACCTCGTTAGCACAACAAGATGAACACCGGATTCATAGAAGTAATTAATTTAGTGGTGGTAGTATATAAAGAAAGGTTATATATAAGGATATAGTATAGGAAGGAAAAAAATTATGAAGCAATTTTAATCTCAAGTATACACCTACGCCATTGTGATCGATTCTGAGCCATGTCACCTAGAGTCTCCAACCATTGGTTACGATAGTCACGTGGACCCCAACCAGGTAGTCTGCATCTACCAACATGGCTCAGACTAGAAGTTAGTGACTTCAAGCACTGATGCCCCTAACTTTCTTCCAACCATCCCCAATACTGGTCATCATAGAGCGTCGTGGTAATCGGTGTTCAG